GACTCAGTACTAACCAAGCATTTGCCACTGTTACATTCCTGAAGGCTCAAAACATACCCTTCCCTTTCAGTCATCTGGTTTAGACCCTATTCTTTATCTATGTCTATACAGGCTTCCTTCTAGCACATGCTAGATTAGCTGGTGCCACTATACTCTTAAGAGCTATATGCCTCATCTGCACAAGGCATCAGCCTGAGGACTGCAGAGCTGTAGATCACTATCACAAATATATTTAGCACTCCCCTCCCTTGCTATATGCATCACTTCAATAATAGACTGCAGCAGCACTTATTACAATGCACTGATACCTTTTCTAAAATGTTACTACTGATCCATTACACAGCTACATAACTTGTTACTATATCTATTAATGTTTACCCACCAAACAAAAACCACCAAGCACTTATCTAAACAGGAAGTCTATTCTGTTGAATCTATACAACAAATTTTCAGAAAGGGAGTAACTATCAGCACAACTGTAGATCGGGTAATAATAATTCTAAGAACTTCATCATGTGTTTAGCGTGTCACACATGGCTTCTTTCTTTTTGCAGAAAATTAAGATAGATGTCAAATTTTGCAGACATTGAAAGAAAGAAACAAACCAAAATAACTCACCATTGCGAAAAACTTTATTAAAATCAAATCCTTGGTTTGCTAAAAAATCTATACTTGAACTCTGCAATAAAAGAAAATAGCTTTACAATTGGCAAGAGCATCTGTGGCATAAAAAGATCAATTCAGTAATTTTTACATTTTTTAAGAAATTATACAAAGTCCAAAGTCAAGAGCAACCAAGTTTATGACCCTAAAGAAGCCACATAGGAGTTTAGGCTATGCTACTTTTATTTATTTTTGACTTCCATAAAGTACAAGAACAATAAATACACTAAAGGTATAAAGATGAAGGAATGAGCTGAGAGAAGATAAGCTAGAGAAAGCAAAACGTCATTCAGGAGAACAAATCTGGGACCAGAACAAGTGCTGGCAACAGCCTGGGAAGCAGTGAAAGTGAGATAAGCAGATGGAAATAAAGGATCAAATAGAAAAAGCAAGGGAGCAGGAAGTCAGACAAGAAAGGAAAAAAATGCAATAAAAAGAATCACCTTTCCAGGTTTGGAACATTATCTCCAATTCCAGAAACCACACAATGTAATATGCAACAAGATTTAAAAATCTGAAGTCAAAGATATTCCCTCAAAGCTCATTTTTAGGGATTGGTCTTAACTTATGCTTATGTCTTCTTATAAGGAAAAAAAATCAAACCAAACCAACAAACAAAAAAACACAAACCCAGAAACTTATGTTCCTCTGCCTTTTAGCTGTTAAAAGAATGGATCACTTCTCCCTATACAATGATGAAGTTTTCCTGGAAATATTTTTTAGAAGTTCACTGCAGGTATACCTTAACCAAACAGAACCAAACTTGTTTTTCTACTAACCTGACAGACAAACTTGACATCTGGTGAACTTCTGTTAAAGGGTTTTGGAAAAATATAGAAATTAAATGACTTCATTATATACCTGTGGAAAAGAGGAGTTGCCTGTCAATACAGCTTATCAATATTACTTCATAAATTCCTCAATTAAAAAAAAAAAACAAGGAATAAGAGAATAACATACTTTTCTTCTGTGTGATCATATTTAAAAGTGCAAAGGCCAAACTGAAAGAGCAAAAAATCCATGGAATGCTGGAAAGGAAAGGAAAACTTTGCATAAGAATAAAAATCATACACATTTAAAGATAACTGGGTTACATGCACAATAAATATGATTTCCTCTCCATTTCAGAATTAAGCAAATCTGAATCTTCTTAACCAATGTTTGTTCTGTTAGTAATTTTGAAGTAAATAAACCAGAGTTCCTGAACTAGCTTTCATTCCCATTTAATCATCTTACTGATGCCCAAAGATGGTTTGTAGTATGCTTCCATTCCATAACCAGACAAGAACTGAGAAAGTCCCATCTCTCCACCTGTTGCTCACACACTCAATATTTAAAGCAGCTGTCAGTCTCCTTCTCAATGTTCATTTACATTCCCCATAGTGCAGGAGCAGGCTGTGAGGGACACTAACTGTATATAGCTTTCAAATACACATAGTAATACATTTAATATTCTTCTAATCCACGTAGCTAAAGGTGGATAATGTGACAGATGCACTAGCACAGTCACTAGGCGCGTTATCATCATGCCCTCTAGTATTTCACAATTGCTGGATCAATATTGGAAAGGCTTTTAATACCACTGCAAGCATACAAGAAAAATAAACAAGCACTGTAGTCTCACTGAAAGACTCATTCCTCCTGAGGGCCAAACACCTATTTTAAACACAAAGAACACACAGGATTAGTTAATTTTATCACAAGGAAAAAGTAATGGGTGGCAACAGGACATATAAAATTAGTTCTCTTATCTCTGACTATAAAGTTCATTTATTAGCTGGTAAGAGTTAAGTTTTAAGAAGGTGAGAACAAAGAATTTGGGGCTGGCTTCTGATACACCAGTCCTCTTAGGATGAGCAACAGACTGACTGTGCCTGCATAGCCTGAACTATCAGCTACCCTGAAGAACTCAAAGGCTCATATTCAGCCAGATGAACAGAATATGGCATCCTCTGGCCTCCTGGATGCTCTTCAGAGACTGATCTCTACTTTCACTGTCTCCTGTAGTGTTTGGGTTGGGTTTCTTTGCCTTTTTTTTTTTTTATTATTTTTAGCTACAGCCTCCACCCCAGTCTTTGCTATTTGTTGTCCTAGTTTCTCAGTAGGAGCACTAACCAGTAATTCCCTCATCCTGCCATGTCTCTTAACAGAATGATAGTAAACAGCATTTATTGACTCCTTGGCCACTTCAGGAAACCGCATCTGCTGAGATGCTTAGCATTTCTCTTTTCCGATTCCCTTCTCTTACTGGGGAAAAAAAAAAAAAAAGGCAAAACAAAAAAAAACACAACAAAAACAAACACCCAAGACACAAGCAAAACAGACTCTTGACCCTCACACACCATGTGTCCTGTGGTCATTTGGCCAGTTTTCAAAATGCTTTCCACAGCTTCTCACATCTTTTCTGTGTGTGTGTGTGTGTGTGCTGAAGGGAAGCAGAGGTGGTGGCAGCAGCTGGCATTTAAGTGTTGTTACGGACAGTACATGCTAGCAGGGGGAGGTAGTTTGCAAAGGACCCTAGTCCTGATGCAGTTTCTCTATCACTGAATTTTTCCTGCCCAGTCCCCCTCTGAACTGATAAAATTTAACACTCTCAGCATCCTTTAACAAGTTCTACACATCTACTACCTCTTGCATGAGGAATCGTGTCTGTTCTGACCATAACTTCTGCAAGTTTAATGCAATATTCCCCAATTCCTGTGTTAGCAGACAGTGAAACAAGCAATCCCCATCTGCTCTACGTAACTTAATTTTACAAACATCTGTCATATTTCCCTACATTTTAGTTTTAGTCAGAGTAAACACTTTACCTTTTTAAGTTTCTGATATCTTTCTTCTGGAGTGTCAAAGCCATTGGTTAATGCACTAACAGAAGGCCCATCGCTGATCCCTAAAAAAGCAGAACATATTTTGCATTGAGTAAGCTTTTCAAAATCAGCCACAGCAAAGAAATGCAACTACTGGTAATCTAAGAAAAATATTTTCACTTAAAGTATATGTTAAGATTATTTCAGTTGAGAAAGATTTTCTACAGCATAAAAGCCACCCAGTTTAATGGTAGTGTTCTAGCAGTAAGGCTCTGCTGCTCTGGTTCCTATTCAACATGATAGTAACATGAAAAGATCTACCAGTAACATAGCATCAATGGGTCTTCACAACACTCTACAGGACCAAAGTCAAACTAAAAATGGGAAGAATGCTGTCCATAGATTTACTTAATTATTTAGTCACTTTAAGCAATACATAACACCCACACTTCCATAAGCACATCTAACAAAGCCTAATCTTGATGACATTTCTATTTCATGGCTGACTGAACTCTGTATCCCAAAATTAAAGCACTTATCAGGGCATCTCTCCGATGCATACACCCCCTGGGTTTTACAAATGTGGAAGTTCTTACTGCTGACTTTCCCTGTCCAAACACTTGCAAGGCCTCCCTTATTTATTCCAATCTCTTGCTTAGATGACGCTTTTTTTTTTTGGCTAGGCTGCAGCTGAAAATCAATTAACATGTTAAAAAGATTACTGTGGGGAGGGAGTAGAGGCAGCCTGCGTATGATGTATCTTTATTTGATCAAAACCTTGCTGTCGCACATACAGTAAGCGGTTTAATCACTCTGTGATAGCCTTTAGTTTTTTCAAGCCAACACCACAATACATTACTTTAGCAAACTCGGGCACCCGGGATGATGCACTGATATTGCTGACAGCCTGCGGTCCCAAAACAGGTGCGACTGTACCTGAAAATTCCCCATCAATGGCCAGGAAGTCCGACTCTTCAATAGCTTCATATACTTTGCTTAGGTTATCCTTAAAATCTGCGGATAAACGGGTAAAACACACCTGAGACTAGTAAGGACTTCCCACGGCAGCGAGCGCGGGGCCCCGCCGCCCCGGGGCCCGCCCGCCGCACCCTCAGCCTCGGGGCGCGGGCGGAGGCCCACCCGCCGCACCTCCTCCCTCAGGGCTGTCCCTCACGGCGCGGGGAGGAGCGGGGACCCCCTTTCCCCCGAGGGAGAGGCCGAGGCCGGGCCCCGCCGCCAGCCTGAGGAAGGGAGGCCGGGACGTTCCTCCGCGTCGCCGGCTCGGAGCCTCCCGCCGCAGCCGCGCGGTGCGACCCGAGCAGAGCACGCAGGAGCAGCTGGTCACTCACTACTTCTGGTCACCTCCATCCCGCGCCCGCACCCGCCCGGCCGGAGCTCGGCCCGGCCCAGCCCGGCACCACCCGCAGCCTCCGCCGAGCGCTTCCGGAAACCGCCCCGCCGCAACGCCAGCGCCCACGTGAGCGCCCGCGGGCGGCGGGCGGGGCGGCCGCCATCTTCTCCCGGGGCGGCGCCCGGCGGGCGGGAGTGGGGTTCCCTCCGTGCCGGCTCTGCGCCCACCCGCGGGCCCGGGCCCGCCCTGCCCGGGCGTGGCGGCTGAGGAACTGCGCCCGGAGGGGCGGCCGGGCCTGGCCGCTTGCGTGGGAACGGCGGCGGGCCCGTTAGGCCTGGCAGGGGCGCCTCAGCTGCCCGCCCCGTCGTGGAACGGTGGGGGAACGCGGCCCTGGCCGTCGCTGCGGGGCGGGAAAGTTGTAATGGGGCCGTCAGCAGGAAGGGAGTCTCAAAAGAGCTGCTTCTCTGTGAGGTGTTTTGAAATGTCGCAGATGTTGGAAAGCACGGTCCTTGCTTTTCAGATCGGAAAGGCAGAACTAGCGCTAGCAAGAGAGAAAGGATGGGGATTTGCTGAGGAGATACCTGGAGGACAGTGGAGGACTACTGGTGATGATGCTTTAATGATGAAAAGTCCGGAGGAACTGGTAGGCTTGAAGTATTGTGGAAGGAACGTTTGTCTTCCTGTTAAAATCGTAAAACCAGCGTTTTCACACATCACTGTAGAAAACCCGTAAACTAATCTCAACACCCAGCAAGATGTTCCTGCATCTGTGCTGTGGAAGGAAACAACTGCCTGAGAGGTAAGGTGTTGCACAAAAGCAGAAGTTGGGGGCAAGGACAGTATGCGGAGTGTAGTGTAAGTGCTACGTGTTTAGAGTTCACACAGCAGATGAATCTTTTCCAAAATCCCAGCAGAATGAAAACAAATGGAAAATTCTCCATAAATTGGGAGTTCATTTCTGCATAGATTAGAAGATACAGAATTATGTAAGACAGAGTGGAGATAGCTTTTAAAGATTCTTCAAGATGAAGTTTTGCCTTTTCGGGGTAAGCAATTCTACGTGCACTCCCAGCAAATCATCTGTGTGATTCAGTGGTGCTCAGTAAGAGGTTGGTTAAAATAGCAGTAGAGATTTTTCTATTTTGTAGTAAATAGGCTGAAGCCTAACATTTTCATCGTATTCCTCTAATTTTTAAGAAATGATCCTTCAGCTTCTAGCTAAAGCGCTCATGGCACTTTAAAGTGCTTGATAACTGTTGTAGAAACTTGACATTTTTCCCCAAGTAGCTGACAAAGCCAGAAACTCCTTGTTTCATTCACCTACAAAATAAAGCTAAACCGCATGTAGAAATGTAAGATGCTGTAATAAAATGCAGTTATTTAATAGGAATTGAAGTATTATGTGTTACAGATTAGACATTTTCTACTTCAACATGTATGTTACATTTTTAGAAGGAAAATTTGAAGCAAGTGAATCTTCTGGGGTTTTTGTTTTAGTTATTAAAGTTATTTTGTTATTAAAAATAAGTTATTTTTAACTTGGAAGGAGAAAAAAATATAAAGAAGGACTATATAGCAGGACTAAACCAGAGCAATTATAGTTAGCATTGACTATGTTGATAGTAGCCTCAAAAATATTTATGTGGTGCAGTAATCTAGACTATGAGTTAATACAGTTTGATCTTGGATATAGTATTGTATGCTCTGTTTTTTTCAGGTGACATCATCTTGGAAATGTGCCCTGCATATAGGATACAAAGTAATTTTGTACAATAACAGCAAAGTACTCTGCTGAATTAGGACAATTACCCATTTCAACTACAATTTGATACTAGAAATCTTTTCTCTTTGAAGGTCTAATGTCCAATTAATCCCCTCAGATTTACTTTTGTGTTGGGTTTTTTAATGGTGATTTTTTTAAAAAAACTATTAGATTACTTCTGTTTGCATTACTAATGTCCCAAACTGCACAACTGGAGATTGAATAGACGGGAGTACTTTGTCTTCCTTTGGCTTTCTGAGAAGATCTGGTTTGGAGAAAAATCTAATTTTTGATGGTGCATTTGACAGCCCAGGTGCCTCATTCTCTGGCTTTGTTCCTCTTTAGGAATAGTCTCCTATTTACTGTCTTCCTGTATATAATACATAACAATAAAAATTAAATGCTATTATGTGTTAAGAAGAATTTAGAATGCTCATGATACTTATTCAAGTTTTAATCCCCATTATTGTGTAGTTTTCCTTAATTAGTCTTCTGCTTTCAATTGTATATGTCAAGGAATGTTTCAGAGGGCATACATCTTAATTTTTGTTTAGTTTCAGAAGATAGAATGTTTGCCTAATTAATTACGTACCTGCTTGGTTCTCTTCCCTGTATATATTGAAGCAACTGCACTTACGTAGTTTGTAATCAGAGTTCTTCAAATATCTCATTTTTTAGATGAAACCGGAAAAGGTTTGTTGCTTTCCGACATACTGGGTACTCTTGAGAGAGAGCAATTCAAGCAGCTAATTATAGGACTACATTGCTTTTGTATACATGAAAAGTTTTATAAACTAGAACAAAAAGGCTACATTTCCCCATCATCACATAAGTCTGCAGCACAGACTGTATCCAACACGTTGCGTTACTTTACTGAACACTGAATGTGACGATAAGTGAAAACGCACACACGCACACACAAAAATAGATTCTAGATCAAGGCCTAAATATTCTGGACCACATTTTTGCCTCACTTGTACTAAGGTAGATCTAGATAAACTTCCTCTGATCTAGAAGAGGTTTAATACTTTCATGTTAGGGTAGTTTAAGAATTTGCTGATGGGGACGTAACTTGAAATATTTAGTTAAAACTACAAATAAACTTAAGTATGAGATCTTTTCATAAAATAAACCTTAGAAGCTAGCTTGTACGGGCTTGCCAGCTTCTGTGCTGCCAGTGAAGTTTTAATTTGTATTTGACTAAAGCTGAAAACTGTTTTGGAATGCATAATCATTCTATGATCCCTGAACCCATATAGCTAGAATTTTGTGTTTAAAAAAAGTCTTGAAATGGCATATACATTTGAGCATAAATGCATGGGTTTTCCATGTTGATAGGAAGTTTGTCCAATGCCTTTAATGTATTACTTTAAAGAAGGCCAGAACTGGATTGAGATTGTTTTGGCACAAGTGGATATGAGCAGTAATACTGCAGTCTTGCTAACAGAATTCTACGTGCGAGTAAAGAAGCAGTAACTGTTAAGTAAAACAAGTAAATATGGAAGTGTGGTATACAAATATTGGATCATTGCTTAAACAGTTGATGAACTTTCAGCTACATGTTTTTCTGTCCCATAAGAAATCTGATTAGGATAATTCTAAAGCGAACAAAACCAGACCTATGTATGTGTCAGGACAGTAGTAATTGTTCTCTGGAGTAATCTGGATAATATAGGAGAGGAAATAATGAGAGACTACTATTTATTGAAATAGGCTGGAATAATTAAAAAGTTAATTATTTCATTTTGGTAACTCAAATGTTTGAACTGTACTAGTAGCTTGTATTAAAGTGGAACAAGAACAAAATCTTTAAGAAAATGTCACTGTGTTGCAGAGTGAAAAAATACAACTCAACAGTAGTTTAAAAAAATCACTCAATTTTTGTTGGACTCTAGTCAAAAAGAAAAGCAGTAATGGAACAGAGACTGATATAAATAATTGTGAATGTGTGTATATATAGATACACTCTCATGTGGTAAAAATAGGCCCTGTGTAAACCAACTTGGTGCATCGTGCGTTAGCATTGCAGTCAAACTAGCCTCCAGAAGTCTAACTTCTGAGAGTAGACCTCTCAGTCTTGTAAAATAAACCTTGAACAAAGTTTCTGTGAAGGAAGATCACCTGGGTGTGTAGACATTCAGCAAATGGAGCTCAATTCTCATGAATCGTGTGTATTAAGAAAAATGTGAGTGTAGCAGTGTTCCTGTCCGGTGATTTTAGGAGCTTTGAAATACAACGCTTCGAGATAAAAAAGAAACCGGCTCCGCTGATACAGGCTCTATTGATAAACTTGCGGCTGCTGCTCAGCAGCAGCGGAGCCGGCGGCGGGGAGCCCCGGCAGTGCCCCCTCGCCGGGCAGCCTGTCGCAGGCGGGGGCAGCGCGCCGTCCCCCCGCGGCCCCGGGGCGGGGGAGGCCGCTGGCAGCCAACCCACGGTGCTCACCGCCTTTCCCGGGAGGCGACGGGCGCGCTGGGAAGAGCCGTGGGACCTCCGCGACCCGGCCCTCCCCAACCCCCGGCGGAGCGGCGGCCGGGCCGAGCGGGCGGGGCGGCGGCTGTGCGGAAGCGGGGGGGGGGGGGGGGGGGGGGGAGGGGAGGCCGCTGAGCGCCGGGGCCGCGGCAGCCGGCGGGTGAGTCGGGTGGGGGCGGCGGGCCAGGGCCCCGCTGCTGGGCCGGGGCCGGGGCCTGCGCTTGGTGCCCGGGGAGGCCGGAGCGGGGCCGTGCCGCTGGGCTCCCGCCGGTGCGGGCGGCTTGGGAAGGGGCGGGCCCGTGCCGGCTCCGAGCTGGGCCCGGCCTCGCCGGGGGAGGAAACCGCCGTCACGTCGCTGCAGGCCCGAACCGCCGGTGCCGCGGCTGCGGGAGCAGCGCCGAGGGGGGAAGCGGGCTAAAGTTGGAAAGAGGAGGCAGGAGAGGAGCTAGTAAGCTTTCAGCTTCTGATCCTTCTCTTGTTCGGTGCAGAGACCGAGTGGTGAAAGACTTTTGCACCCACAGCAATCCTCTCTTTTCCAGGAAAACTTAGGTGCAAACCCTTGTTTTTATTTCTCCTCTTGCAAGGGCTGTTTCAAGTTTGTCTTTTAGAAAGCCAACAGTCTTTGCTTTGCTGGGAAAAGACAAGTTTGTACGCAGTCTGATGATCCTAGTTGCACTATTGATTTCATTGGTTTCTATTTCTGTACTGCTTCTTCTTTTTTTAATTTTAATCTTTACCAACTTGCATGCTTACCTCTTTGTGCTTGATCTGGATGGAAAGATGGTAACTTAATAGTAAGCAGGAGCCACATGGTGGAGAGCATAAGCATATTTTGGTTTGGTAGTGCCTGAGGAGAAAATTGTGCAGTTTTTGATAGTGATCTGCATCAGTGTGGGCTTTTTTTAAGAAAGTAGATACAGATATCTGAGAGAATACAGTAGGCACATAGAGCAAATAGGTTTATATTTTTGGTAACCTTGGAACAATCTTAAACTCATTTGTGCATTTTCTGAAATAATAGCAAAGAGTAATTGCCAGTAAAGTTACTATGGAGTTTAGTCCTCCACTGACATGGCAAGCAGATCAGTCCCTTATAATTATGAAACATATGACTTCGTGGATCTATTTTTTTTTTTTTTAATATTGCCCAGCAATGTGTAGCACTGACCTTTTTTCATGTTTTATTCCGTATGTTTGGAAAGAATAGTGATGGAGTAAATTGGATTGTTACATTATACTGGTGTTTTATTTTTGTATTCTCTGATGGTATTTTCTAGTGATACTTCTTTTGATTGGTGTGTTTTAGTAAAATCTTGATTAAAGATACTGTCAAAAGTCATCTGAATCAGAGGGTTTTTTTGTTTCACTTTCATGTATTATGTAATACAGGAAAATACAGGGAAATTGAGCCCAGCTTTTTACATCTAGAATGGTTTTGATTGTAGTTTTCAATTAATATGTTGTTGAAAAAGCAGAAGATCATATTTCATTTTGGGAAAAGCTAAGTTAGTTAAAAAGTTGAAAACCATCAGCGCAACAAAATAATTACAGTGATAAATTATACTGCTTGCAATTATAAACTTCTGTAGTAACTTTTTTCTTAATGAGGTTTAACTTGTTGCTTTTCAGAAGTAATGCCTTAACTGGTTTGAAGATCAGAGAGAGCTTTCTGTTTGCATAAGACATAAAAGAAAATGGAAGAAGATGAGACTTTACAAGGTGAAACAGAGAGGGCAAAAGTTGAAACACATGCTACTCCTGAGATCGGTCGGCGGATATCAGTTAGCGAGTTCCTTTGCCACTGCTGTTACGACATTCTGGTCAATCCCACCACCCTGAACTGTGGGCATAGTTTCTGTAGACACTGCCTAGCATTGTGGTGGGTATCATCCAAGAAAAGTGAATGCCCCGAATGCAGAGAAAAATGGGAAGGATTCCCCAAAGTCAACATCCTTCTCAGGTGAGTGTACTATGCTGTTTTTGGATTTCTAAAACCACTGAAATTAGTTGTCTGGTTTTTAGAGTTTGCTGCAGATTTCTGTAGTTTATTGGTAGTCTGAACTGTCACAAGGACATTTAAATCCTGAAGTCTTTCATATTTCCATACTTGTACTGAACTGTTCAAGCACATTTTCCTGCATGGAACTAAGGGGTGGGTTGGCTGGCTTTGTTTTGGATTTGTTTAGTTTTTTATTTTTCCCCCTTCTGAATTTTTTGGGGAATGGAGAGGAGGAATCCTTTTTTTAGTATTGACACACTTGGATCTTTTAGTACAGCTGGTTGTTTCCTGATAATTCTAAGTTAGAATGATCTTTGATAATTGTGTAATTACTCCTGTAATAGGAATTACTTATTGGAAGAAATGTGATCTTGTTGCAAAACAATGTCAGAAATATCAACTTGCTGTTTTGAATTACCCACAAGTTCTTGTGTTAATAATACTTTATCTTATGTTAATAAAATTTTAATAAATAGATGTTAGGATTGATGCTAGGCTTTTATGTTGTCTTTTGCTTAGCATTTTTGAATAATCAAGGCTTGCCAGTAACACACACAATTCTAGTTTTATATAAAACCAAGGGGTTTTTAATAATGTGGTATTTTAACTTTCTCTATCTTTAGAAACTAAGAAAAACATTGTTTGGAAGTAATTGATTTAAGTTTAACTTTACCAGGTATTAATGTTTTCTTGCTTTCAAAGATGACGGTCTTTACTAGAGGCTGGAAGACAAAAATCCAAAAATTTGTCCCTTTTCTGAATGTTAAGCCTTAATGGTTATAGTACAATGACAAATATTTTTCCCATTAGGGATGTTATTGAAAAGCTATTTTCTGATGCCATTGAACAAAGAAAAGAAGATATTCAACAAAACAGTGATGTAGCACGCAGCTTAGCAACCTTCCAAAAATATGGGAACGACCAGATTCCTACAGTTCCGAACACAGGAAGAATTAATCCTCGAGGAGGAGGGTTTTTCTCAGGCGTTCTGACAGCTTTAACTTGTGTAGCAGTAAGTTTCATCTGATTGGTTTTCCATATTTACTCATTAAGCATGCAATCAAATATACTTAAATTACATACACATAAAAAAAAGATTATCAGCACAGAAGAGATTTCAGCTGAGCAGAGTAAATAAAATAGCATTCCGAGTTGTCTGTCAGGAACTACAATTGCAATACACAGCAAACAGAAGTTAGACAAATTGGGTAAAACTTCAAGATACTTTCTTATAACCTGTATATTCTAGGGTCCATAAAATGGAAGATGCTACATGTCAAGTCCCTTAATGCATGTTCATTTGTATCATTAATATATTTGCTTTACAGGTAAGGGATCTCTTTTTTTTTCTTTTTTTTTTTTTTTTAATCTACCTATAGGTAGTTCTACTTGGATATCACTGGAGTAGCAGAGAATTTGAAGAAGATCTTCTTGTTCACAAGCCTGTTGCTAAATGGACTGCTGAAGAAGTGATACTTTGGCTAGAGCAGCTGGGCCCATGGGCTTCACATTATAAAGAAAGATTTTTACTGGAGAAGGTGAATGGAAGGTGAGAGGCCTAATTGTCAAGAACAGCTGCCATTTGACCGGACTGCTGGATAGCTTTTATTAGGGATGGTGTATTGTAAAATGACCGTACTTCTTTCCATAGATTGTGGAAATATTCTGCTGATGTATCAAAATAAAGTTCAGGGGAAGTTTTAACACTTGTAGTTGAAAACTTTAGTACTAGATACTATGCAGGCTAACTGAAATTTTTCTAAGAACTTTTAAAAATGCTGACAATGCAGAATGAAATGATACTGAAACTAAAATTCTACTAATGTATTATCCACCTCTCCCACCTTTTCTTTCTTATGAAAATATTCATATGCTATATGCATTGTTGCATTCCATCCAAGAGGTCTAGGTTTGATTTCAGGAGACCAGACTAGCTCTGTGAAGTACTGAAGAACTGTATTCAATAATAGCCAACAAGCTGATAAATTTGCATGCTGAAAGCAGGCAAGAGAAAACTTGAAAAGAAGGATATTTAAAAGCCAGGCTCTGAGACGCAGTTGATTCAGAACACTTGATATGGAATGTAATCCAAAAGGTGATACCTTCTATCAGTAGCTTATTGTTTCAGTATGTAATTGCTAATTTGTTATTCATATCTTTTTGGTGAATGAGGCACTGTTTACCTTCTGAATTCTTCTGCTTTTGTAGACTTCTTCTAACACTGACAGAGGAGGATTTCACAAAAGAGCCTTACAGTATAGAGAATAGTAACCATAGAAAAGCTATTATGGCGGAACTGGAATGTGTTAAAACTTTAGGTGTTAAACCACCACAGACCCTTTGGGAATATAAGGTAAATTTTATATAAAGTCTGTTGTGTATATTAAGTATTTTTAAAGTAATATATTTAAAAGAAAATTCTCTTAAAACCATAAGGAACGTTAAGGTAGTAGAATTACCCTTGTAAAAACTGCTCAGTGTAATGACCTGTTGTATTTGAAAAATGATCATTTGAAAAGGGATCACTGGAAAAATCTAAGAATTGGCATGTCCCTCTCATTTTGTTTTTTCATTGTTTGAAACTTGATAATTTGATACCTTGCAGGCAGTAAATCCAGGAAAATCACTCTTTCTTCTATATGCACTGAAGAGTTCTCCAAGACTCAGTATGTTATACCTGTATTTGTTTGATTATGCAGAAGCTTTCCTACCTTTCATCCACACAATTTGCCCTACGCAAGAAGACAAGTATGAAGATACTGTGACAAAACTACTAGTAAGTGTTCAAAACTATGCTACTTGCTTTAGTTATAAGCATTTTAAGACTAGCAGCATAAAAACATGATGTAATTATTCACCATGTAATCTCTTTACAATGCAACTTTTTTTTTTTTAAGAAAAAAAGTCCTACAGAGTAAGTGGTTCCTTGATTATGTGATCACCAGTGTTGTGACCATTACCTTTTAATAAGATTGATTTAAGGCTTCTAATACTTTAAATCTGTGAAGCTGATTTTTTAAGTTCACTCAAAATACCTGGTTTTTAACAGATGGCATTATAAGGTCTGGCTGGCTGTGATGTTTTATCCTAATCTAATGGAAATTACTGGGTTAAAGTATTATCGTAACAGAAAGTATAGTAAAGATAAATGACTGCTTTCAATGTATAAAAAAACAATTTTTCAATACAATAGTAGAAATAAGCCAGTGTTGTGTCTGTTTAATAGGAAATTCATTAGCAGTCTTACCCTAATTTACAGGACCTTAAAGATCCTTCTTGGAAACAGTGGAAAGAATTCATTGTGAAGTATTTATTTTTGCCATACCAGTTGATAGCTGAATTTGCCTGGGATTGGTTGGATGTGCACTACTGGACATCAAGATTTATAATTGTAAATGCCATGTTGCTCTCTGTTCTGGAATTATTCTCCTTTTGGAGGCTCTGGTCAAGAAGAGAATTGAAGTAAGTCTTACGGAGCTTGTTGAAGAGGGTAGGAAGTACACAGCCTTATAAATAGAAAGTAACAGTCTTGGGATTTCACAGTTGCTCACTGAAATGACAGTGTCCAACCACAACTCTGAGGTTAATAAAAACGTGTGAATCTGAATCTGCACAGATACTGTACTCACTCTTGAATATCTTTATTTCTGTGAGTACTTGAAAGGGTTTCTTACAGCTGGTTTTACTGATCAGATGTAGCAAATGCAGTAACGGAAATAAGCATGTTCTTAACCATAGGGTAAATATGAACCTTGAGAATTGCCTTTTATGGTAACTGGTATTAGCTGAAAACTAAACACAATATATTTTGTCATTATATTATTTTTGTATTTTGTATTTGTACAATATAGTTATTACCTATATTAAAGGATGAGTCATCAGAATCATAAGGAAGTTTAGCTACACTGATAGTATTTCTGATAGGTGATAGTGATTTCTGTTTTCAGTTACTGCTTTAGCCTTAATTCAAGCATACGGATATTATTTTATAATTGCTGTGATCTTTTATTTATAGTTTTTAAAAATTGCATAGGAGAAATTCTTGTGTTGGTGTATACTGGGTTTTCACTGTCTCTGCAGCAGCTAGGGGGCAGAACGTGTTAGCGTAGTAAGAGTGCGGGGTACCTGCAACTCATCTATGACAAATCTGGAATTTGACCACTTTAACTTGCTGTGCTTTGTGGTCTGAATAAATTGACTTAATGCTTCCTCATGTAAAATCTAGTATTAGTTTATTTTAAGAAAGTTTTTCTGGAGTGCAAAATGATGTTTTACAAGTACTTGAGTAAATACTAAATAAATTGAGGCTGCAGCATATACTAGCTTTTCTTAGAAGGGGTAAAAACAAAATTGGAATTTCCTCTAAGCCTCTTCCTTTCCTTCTTCACAGGACTATTCCTCACAGAATGTGGAGACATTTCTGGAAAGTCTCAACCCAGGGCCTTTTTGTTGCCATTTTTTGGCCTTTTATTCCTCAGTTTGTTTGCAATTGTTTGTTTTACTGGGCCTTGTACTTTAACCCAATCATAAACATTGATCTTGTAGTTAAAGAAGTAAGGCGTCTGGAGACACAAGTGCAGTGACTGGCATTGGAACTTTTGAGCCTTTTAGCTTCTAAAAATGGAAATTTGAAATAAGCTTTGTTTTTCTTCCTCGTATATGTGGCAGTGAAAGTGGTGGATTATGTTAATTTAAAACATACAAAAAAGCCTTAAGGTAAGTTAATCTTAAACAAGCTGATTCCAAATCTGAGGATGGGCTTTAATATCTGAAAGGAATTTGCTATTGAAAAAAAAAAAAAGTAACATTCCTGATTTAGCCATGTAAAACTTACACAATCATATCACCCTATTTTTGATCAAATCAAACTTACCTATTCTGTTGTGCGTATTCTGATTATTTTCAAGCCTGCCTTAAAATCAGTGTCTTCTGAACAGCTATAGTGATGATTTTTTCTTTTTTAAAACTTAGCAATGTGTTCTTCAACTTAAGTTTGCCAAAGGAAAGCTCTTCCTGGATAGGCTTGATATTGAAAGTACTTCGGTGTTTTCAGTCTACTTTACATGTAAAGTTGTGACTGTCAAATTTACCGTCTCACAGTAGAGTTTGTTCTAAAATTCCCACTGTTGAAGGCGAAGACTGCTTGAGTTTTGTTGTCTTTTGAAAAATGTGGTGATTGCCATTCAAAATTTTTTATTCAAATCAGTTAGACTTCATCAATACCTTCTTTAATGCGCTCCTCTTGAAGTCTGTTGCTAATTCTTAAATTCAGGGCTATCTCTTAAAAAGGATTATTTTGGAAAAGTGACCTGATGCTGTCATTACATCTTACTGAAATATAATGTGTATATCTAGATGTGTAAACGAATATTGTGACTAGAAAGTTATTTTCTGTAAACAGGATTGCCATTTGTTAATGTATGTTTTTTGACTGAAACAAAAATTAGATTTTTTTTAAGAGCTTTGTCCCCTTGCGTTCTACATTGGTTTTGTTTTTTTTTTTTTCATTTGTATCATTAATATGAACTTTAAATTTGCCTATGAATATTTTTAAAGATTAAAGATCTCTTTTGAAATCTTCATCCTTCTTTTTACATTGAAGTACTTGTCATTAGCTTTGACTTGGTCTGTAGCCCTGCATCTGTAAGCGCTGAGGTGGGTCAAAGTAGATACAAAACACTCCTGGTTCTTAAACTGTTAAAATTAGTGGTTATGGAAAAGTGTGTTATTCAGGAATTCATGTTACTGATTTCTCTTTCTAAAAGGTTTCAAAAAACTATCTTTATATCCTTATGAGGTACATACACTTCTGAATTTTGCAAACTCATGCTGTCCAAGATGAAACACTTAAGAGAAAGTCAGTTGGTCCCAGTGACTGCTACTTTTTTCATGTATCTGTCTTGGTGAGGGGTTTGCATTTGCACTTTTAAATCTGGCTCTGAAGTTTTACGAGTAGAACTTCTCCCTGTGCCCACAGGAAACTCAGGGTGTACATGGAGTAAGGAGCTTGAGCCATACCAAATGAACAACTTATTGGAAAACTGTATTTAAAAAGTAAAAACTAGAAAAAAGGAATTATAGTAGGCATTTTTTAATACAGGTAGGACGACTTAAGGTCAATGAGATGCAAAAGTTAAATTAGGCTTCATAATAAGTGTTTAATATAGATGTGAGGGCTCTTTGTGCTGACACGTCACTTCATGCATTTCTTCTAGTCAGTTCAAAGTTAACGAATGTTAAGGTGAATGTTAGTGGAAATGTTTGATTTGTATCTTAGAGCCAGTGGAGGGGAGATGAAAAGTTCACAGTGAATGATACTACGAATCTGAAAAATCTGTGAATCTGAATGTAAACAAAAGTAATTTTAAGTCCATTACTCCTTAAGCTGATAAACTTAAATTCCTGTTTAGGCAATAAAAGCTTACAGAAAGCTAATGAACTTGCTTTTAGTCTGTGCATTGTAGAAAGTAAGTAAGAGGATGAATGTTTACTGGGGCCATTCTGGGGTGAAGAGGCTGACGTGGCAGGAAGGAGGATCAAGAAAGGAGAAAAACATTTGTTGTCGTTACTGTGACTGAAAAATAAAGTCGTTTTAGATTTAAATACATACAGAGTTGTCATAAAGACTGATGTCATATATCTAATACCTACACAGAGGCTGAACCTCGCCACACATTAAGTCTGGCCACAAAAGGTATTTTGTATGATAGGGAGCTTTAGAAAAACATTTGGCAGCTTCACGGTCACATTCACATGCCATTTTTTGACATTTGTCCTCTAGTGATTCTGAAAGAAAACACAGTAAGTTTGATATTAGTCTGAAGTAATTAAAAATAACAAATGGAATATTAAGAATTGCTACCTCATGTTCCATATTTGCCATATAAATGGCTCTTATTTCAAAATATGGGAACAGTATTGAGCTTCAGTAAGACTTAGAGTTCTTCTGTGTTCTTTATTAGACAATGCTCCATGCTGGGACATCTCAGCAATAGGGAGTATACAAGCATGGTTTGGTTTAGTGACAATTGGTAATCAGTGGAACTATCATGGCAGGTGAAAACATAGTAATTGAATAAAGACTTGAATACCCTTCTTCACATTCTCTAATAAAGGAACACTGAGAACCATTAGAAAGTGTTATGTGACCCTCCCTGCCCACCCTGTTGCCCTAGTGTAACTTGAGTTTCAGAAGATATTTTCTATTTTGCATATGCTTTAATCTACCAAAGGATGTAGCATGTGAAATAAGGGATGCAAAGATGTTCCACGTTCAGCTTAAATCACCCACTTCTTAAGGCATTCAGTAAGAAGTTAAGTATAGTGTGCTTATGATAAAATCCACCTGTACCCCTATTTGTTTTAGAATCGTAGACTGGTTTGGGTTGGAAGGGACCTTAAAGACCATCTAGTCCCACATCCCCCTGGCATGGGCAGGGACACCTTCCACCAGCCCACATTACTCCCAGCCCCGTCTAACCTGGCCTTGAACCCTTCCAGGGAGGGGGCAACCACAGCTTCTCTGGGCACCTGCACAGGGAAGAATTTCTTCCTTATAGCTAATCTAAATCTGCCCTCTTTCAGTTTAAAGCCATTACCCCTCATCCTATCCCCTACACCTCCTGATCAAGAGTCCCTCCCCACCTTTCCTGTCCCCCCTTTAAGCACTGCGAGGCCTCTCTAAGGTCTCCCCGGAGCCTTCTCTTCCCCAGGCTGAACCCCCCCAACTCTCTCAGCCCGGCCTCCCAGGGGAGCTGCTCCAGCCCCCTGAGCATCTTCGTGGCCTCCTCTGGCCCCACTCAGGCAGGTCCATGCACTGATGTTGAGGGCCCCAGAGCTGGACACAGCACTGCAGGGGGGTCTCATGGGAGCAGAGTAGTTTTATAATTTTGGTATTGTAACTTAACAGGTTTCCTGGCATGAATGTTTCTTCTTAGCATGAAATTTTTTTTCTACAGCAATATATTTTGGTTTTACTGTGCCAACCCAGAAATGTGTGTTTTTTCTCTCTGCAACTGTCTGTAAACTGAAGAATCCTTGATTATATTTTGTCTGAGTATTATTGCACATTTTGAAAGCTTAGCTGAATCTCTGCTTGAGATTTGTCTAGGAGCAGAACAAGTGTTCAGTTTTGTGAGTTAACTCAGAGTTAACTCAAATTCTGCTATGAAATGGAAATGTCCTTAATGTATATATGTTGACACTGCAGCTACTCTAAAGAACTCAATAGCATAAGTAGTATAAAAAACATGATAGGATAAAAAAAACCCCAACATTAACTGAGAAGAACTATGCCTTCTCTTTTTATTGCACCAAACTTAATCCTCTCCATTGTACCTCAGGGACTTTGTTTCAGCTTTGTTTCTTGATGACATGCCTACTATCTTGGCCAGCATTTTAAAATATTGTCAGCTGCTGGACCAGAACAGGAGCAGAACTTTTACAGCCAAATAGAGGTGGACCGTAACTTGACAATTAGATGATTGTTTCAGAGAAAAGATGCTTAGTACTTCTGGAGTAGAGGAGGAAATTAGCAAGTAGAGATTCCTGGGCAAAGTAAACATTGAATGAAGAGGAAGAAAGGAAGTAATGTCAAAAACTTTGATTTCAGGCAGGCAAATTCTACATTGAGTTATGAAATTAGAGGTTTTTGTGTTTTCTCTGAAGAGCCTACTGTTGCCTTTAGAAACTATGGAGTCAGAAACTCAGACTTGTTGCATAGAAGTTCATGTAAGGGTCTGCATTTTTGTGGTGCAAATAATAACCAATGCTTAAGCTGATTTGCACTCTAGGTAATAGCATAAAATTACATGCAAAGTAACTGACCTAGCAGCTGATAGAACCAAAACAACCCAAAACCAAACAACTCAAAAAAACCTTCATACAACCCCCAAAACCTAACAACAAGAACTCTGCAAATTTTGGTGGCTTGTGAGAAGTTACACTTTGAAAAAGTCTTTGAAGTGTATTGGAAAATATTTGCTAAAACTTTGGGAGTTGTGAAGAAATAAAGAAACACTACTTTTTCCTGTTAAACATTTTTCGTGTTTGTTTCTTTGAGATTTCTTTATCCTTCTCTTTTATACTACAGCATAGCAAGTATATTGCTTTCATATTTCAGAGGAATCAAAACTTACTGGGATGTAGTCAGCCATCTGTTGCAATTTATACACTAATTATGTAAATATTTTCAAATTAACATTTTATGGCTTGTGGACATGTTACTTCCATAAATAAACATACTCATCAAATATTTTATTACTTCAGTGTCTGAAATTGTAAGCTGTAATTGTGAATTCATTCATAAATTGCAGCCACAAGTAGTGGGCTTTGCAACCAATCAGTGGTAAGCATGCCAAAAACATGTCCATCATAAACTTATAAATAGTGTGAAATAGTTTCTGCTAGGTATAAAAAGGATCCTTTTTAAACAGTTGTAATTTTCTTTGTAGTTATTCTCCAGTTGGACACCTGCATGTTGGAGTAGCATAACATGGGTTCCTCAACATATGCAAATGCTGAATAAAAAGAGGGGATTTTTTGGTAGTGTTTTCTGAAAGGGTAATAGAAGCATGTAGCTCAGAATTTTGTTTGCTTATGTATGTCAGTAGGTGGGGATTAAGAAGAAAAGACGCATGCATTTGGTTGGCATAGCTGTGCTTTCTGGAGGCACAGCTTACCCTGACAAAAAAAAAGTCACAAAAAGAAGGATGGTAAAATAAGAATTTTACAGTTAATGGAAAAAATGTCTGTCTATTAAGTCAGTGAGACAATCATTGGAAGTTAAAAAAAAACAACCAACCAACCAAAAAAGAAGCAACAACCACCCCCTGCAACTAGAACTATTCACTCACCACACACAGCAGCATTGTCTTCACATTCCCAGTGGTAACTTTCTATCTTTGGGTGACAACCTGCTTGCTCTGCCTTACCATAGCAGCAGTCATGGTTAAAGCAGCACCTGAGGGTAACAGAAACGGGCTTGCCTTAATTTGTACTGTGGTGATTTATGGTCACATAATGTGGATGTTTTTTATCAACACATTTCTACAGTCTGTGAAATAATAAAACAGTCAATATATGCAAATGTACAAACCGTTACCTGCTCAGGAATCAAAACAGGGTAATTGTTTAATAGATCGCCTAGAAAAAAATATTACTCTGTCATGTAATCAGTTATGAGGAAAATGTCTGTTACACATTGATCTAGTTGAACTTCCTCATAGATGAAAATACAAGGAATTTTTAAAGCATTCTCAGTTTTAAACACAATAAACTTTTATGTGGATATACCTCTATCTTAGCCCTTTCCAAGAAAAGGATTAAATGCCAGAATAGTCTGTCAGATAATGAATGATGTTTTTTTCTAGCAGTTACTGTGATGCTATTGCAAAAGTTACTAACAGGGAAGGGATAAGAAGATTTGTTAGGCCATAGCATACTATCATAAATGTCATCTTATAGCGGAGTCCTTAGGTGGTGGCAGAAAAGCTGAGAGCAGGTGAAATGTACAGTAATGAATAGGCATGGGTGCTGTTTAATGCCATAATGTAATTGTTTGCTCAGTATCATGAGAAAATTTGGAAAGTTGCCCAAAATGATGATTTCAGATTCTTGTAATAATTGGGACAATCAATTAATTATTTTCTATTACATTGTGGAACTGAACAGTATAGGTATGCATTAATGGCATATTTTAATGCTTAAAATAATACTCTTCTTTCATAGAGTCACTGCAAGCCCAGAATAGCAAATGAGGGAGGTAACAAGGACCTAAAATTAGATAGCCTGTAAGCTTTTGCTGCAAATGGACTATACTTTTTCTTTTTTTACTTGGTAGAAGAACAGGGCATATCCACGAGCTCTTTGCATTTAGTCATTCAGTTTCCTCCTGGTAGCCTAAAACCATCGTATTACAGTAGGCACATAATGTTTAGATGGTGTTTAGACTGCCTGAGGAATTTGTGTCTGCAATAGAAAAAGTTAATGCTGTGAGCTCCCATGGGCAATTACTTTTTTTTTTTTCCTATGCTTATTAAATAATGTAATTCCACGTGAATCGCCATTTAAAGATCCTGTAGTATGTAACAGTTGCACAGCACATGCCCATGAAGTAGCTCAATGCATCCATTTCATGCACAGAAATTTTAAAACCCCCAAAATTCTAGTGAGTCTTTGTAGCAGTACTAAGTTAAATAAACCAGGAAATACATCTTTTTTTTGCCATAGTCCAATCTATTTTCATGTGTTTACAAAAATTTTTAGAATTACTTTAGCCCTTTTAAACATTTAAAATAAAAATAGATTAAGGATTTTATCTTATGAAAGCAATATATGATTGTCTCCATTTGAAAGTCCATTTTGGTAAGTGGCAGGCAAAAATCTAAATTGCAATAACTATTACTTGAATAATTCCATTACAGATGTTCTTAGTTAAGTATTTCTGTGTTTTCACTTAACTTGTTTGCAGGCATATTTCTGAATGTAAACAGCCCACAAGGTAGTTCAAAACTTTAAGAAATCAAACATATGGTAAGAATGTTTGTCTCTACCTACAATTGGTACAATTCTTGATTACAAGAATAACTACATTCTGTTGCTATTAAAACCCAGACCACAAATAACTAACCATGTTTTGTGAAGCAGCTTCTTGCTACTACTGTGGGACTTTCACAAAACGAAAAAATGGCCTCCAATGAAAGACTGTCAAACTGCAGATTCTCCACCATCATCTTTATGTATACAGATTACCAGAATTAATAATAGTCCCTTCTTTTTGCATGTTTTCTCAGTCATTAAAGCAGCGATTACATTCTGCAAAATTGTCTTTAAAATAACGGATTACACATCCAAAAACTTGAAATATGTAGGCAAGGATTCTAAAAGTTTTAGATCTAATCATGACTAGAATTTTACTCAAATAAAAAAACAAACAAACAATTTCAACTTCCCATATATTCTACCCTGAGTATCAGATGTTTGTTTTCCCTTTAATTTACAATATATCTCTCTGACAAGTCAGAACATGAGATGTCCCATGCAGTGGGGAAATGTATCATTATAATGATAAACTTGAAAATATAAAACCTTTATTTAACTACAGTAAGCAGAAAATCATCTTCCTGTCAGCTAATGTTCAATTATAAATGAAATTGATTGCAGTCAGTATGCTGAGAATTAGTACTAAATACAAAGGTCTGTTTTTAGAATTATTTCGGTAACAATTCCTTTTATTCATAAGTTATTTTTCAACAGGTTGAATTTTGCATATTTTGTATTATACATAATAATACGTATTATTTTGAATACTAATAAAATGGGTTCGCTGGTAGTAGAATCAAGAGATTTTTAAATTGTGAGGGTTTTTTTAAAATTTTTACTTTTACAGATAGTTTGAATGTTTGAGCTTTAAAGCTTCTCCAGGAAGACTTCAGTTCTTCAGCTCTTGGTCAAACAGCAACAGTGAAGAAACACAACTGTACTGTGAATCCAGTATTAATGCAATGAGAGTCTAAGTTAAAGGCAAGTAGGACTCATGTAGATCTACAGTAACATAATTTTAATGCTTCAGAGTTTCTTAGCAGTCTGAGGTATGTTTAAACTCAGTTCCCTCACTGATGTTAAGTAGGCCTTAGTCATATTTTAGTCCTTTTACTCTGTCATATGCATACATTCAACACTTAATTACTCAGATAGTTACTCTTACCAGTCTACTCTGTCCTTGGGCCATCCTCTTCCTCCCAGACCACAGTAGCATCCATAACGTAGGTAAGCAAAAGGAGATCGTCCTGTAGTACATCTAATGGCTCCGGCTAATTCAAGAATTCCTCTTCGATTTCTAAAATGGGCTTCCCCAAAAGTGCCTTTATAAACTGTGAAAGAAAAACTCCTTGTTTTTTATTTAATCTAACATGCAGATATAAAATAAGGTTTTAATTTTTTTAAACTTTGATAATGAATGTCAGTACTTGAAGATAATAGTTTTCTTTTTGACAATCTGGGGCCACACTGCTTGACCCAAGTCCCTTTTTACCTCTATCTATAGTGAGCAGAATACTGAACAACGTTCTGAATAGCTGCAGTGGTTTCCTCCCATCAAGGCAGCACACAATGGCAGACTTCAGTTATTTCCAGTCTTAAAACTGGCAAGGGCTGGCATGTGTTCTGTGGGCTCAGTCCACTAATCTGCTAAGATTAGATGCCCTAAGTGTTGCAGTATTTTCTCCTTACCACAACATGCATTTTTGCCCACGTTGTTATTTTGTAGAATGTAATGCTTTACATTTCAACAAATATGTCCTCTAGGATGGGGTTCTGGTTTTCCAGATTTTTAGACAAGCCAAGTAACTGGCAGGATGGTGGGGTGGGTGCTTGGAGTCATTTCCAGGGAAATTACAAGAAGTGGCGTTTATTTTTTCTGTTTCATTTTCTTTGGGTTTTGATGTTTAAGGGATTCTCACCATTCTTTCTCCAGAACAAGATTGTATTTAGGAACTTTACTGTCCTGTGTCAGTAGGTCCAGGGCAGCAGATAAATGCTGAGACACCAGATGATTTTTTAGGGCTTCAGGTCATCCTTCAGGTTGAGCTAATGTATCAAAGACCCTTAATGGTAATAGGCAGCATATCCTTGCAGTGCAGCCTCCAAGCTTTATGTAGCAATTTTTAAATAGTTGGATGAGTACAAAACAGATTAGTGGAAAGCTGCTGATAAGAGTTGTCTTACTAATAAAACTAATGATTTATTTTGGTATGAGAACAGTTTATAAACTTTAACTCCCAGTATTGGATACAGATTGGGAAAGACATTAAGATTTAATAACTGATAATAGCTGCGAGAGAGCAGAAATAAATTTAGACTTTGTCATTGAAGGCTTTGATAGTTATTTTTCTACGGAATAACTAAATAATTACACCGTTTGTATATAATCTTTATAATCTATAATAGACTAATCTATTATAATAGATTAAATTATCAACTATAATCAGTTAATGGAAGATCTGCCAGAAAAATATTGTTCCCAGCACAGTTGAGTAATTTGAAATGCGTGGGATGCTGGTGAAATTCAGCACTTGTAAATTCATGAAACAAAGGGATTTAAACACCTCATGAAATCACCTCATTAAGAAATACAATTGATTTGTATGTGAGAATGATTTTAAAACTTTAGAAATAATGTTTGTAGCTAATTCGTACTTATGAAATAGCTGGGCTTCCTAAGAACATATTTAGTACTTTACTGACTGACAACTACTCCCAGATCTTGCTCCCGTTCCAGGATATTATGTCCCATTTAGTTATATAGGTTTTCTGGTAAAAAGATCCTCTCCCATTTTCCCAAGGGGTCCATAAGGTGGACTCCCAGAACCTGTGGTCCTAGGTGTCAAAATAACAGTCACATTGTAGAACTGACACATGATCATCTCCCATTCCGCTGCAGCTCTGAACATGTGTTTCAGCTCTGGGTAGCAGAAGTACCCATTTGAGTATAACCAGATTCTTATCTTTACAATAGCATTAAAAGTGTTATCTTCACTGTCAGTACAGGTTCAGTAAATTCCCAGCTGAAAAGAAACTGCAATAAGGCTGCAGCATTACAAATGACAACTGCTTATACTCTTAAATGTCTAGTAAGATTGGGCTAGACTCTTGTAGCTAGCCAATAATGTCTGAAGGAACCATGTTAGTGCAATATAGAACCTTTTTATTATTATTATTTTTGCTTAGATTTTTCCCTCTGGTTTCATAAGCCATCGGGAATGGCCTTTTTTGCCTCATGTTGTTGCCCAGACTGCTGATGTGCTATCTCGACACACTGGTCATGTGTAGTTTTTTTTAAAGAATAAATTTGCCTGGTTTTGATACTGCAGACCAAGCAATGAGAAACAAGTAAATTGCATTTCCCTTCCTCCTCGCTGTGCACAGAACGGGTGGCTGCCATGCCTGACTCAGAGCAATCAGACCCAAGCCAGGCTCTCTGTAACAATCACTCTAGACTGGCAGAAGCAGTGAAACAGTCTTTCATTGCTTTCCTTAATGTTTTTGCTGAGGTTTGTACTGTGCAAAGGATGAAGTCTGGAGGATCATCAAAATGCAGAAGGAATAATAGGGGCATGTTGAGGTCAGGGAGTAGAATTGGGGCTGTGAGCGTGGTGGGACCTTAAGTTGGCCCCATTATGTAAGCACCTTACCTTATGGTCTTTTAATCATGCAATTGCCTGCCCCCTGCCCCCAACCCTGCTTCATTCTGCACACAGAATATAAAAATGAATTGAGGCTCTTGATCTCGGGATCCTTCTATTTGCAAGATTTGATTTGGTGAATTTGCAAGCTGTGTAGGACTGTATAAAAAAAAGTGCAAGAAGGAAAAATAAAAGCTCTTAATCAAGGCAGCTGAACGCTACTCTGGATTTTATCCTTATAGCTGTCACAAAGGTTTAGCATGAGTTTAATCACTTTAAAACAATGCCTGTTGATGTTTACTAATAGCATGCTCCCAGCCTGCTGAATATCATGGAGTACCAAACTACTGCAGTACTTGGAGCCAAGCTTTGAGTATTTGAAGTTCTACATAATTTTAAGTAGTCGTAGGTAAAATTGGGTTCTAATCTGTCACCATGGATAGTGGATGCTTTTTTGTGTCAGCCACCTACCTATCTGAAAAAGAGGGATGATAATACAATTTCACTAAAGTGTGAAAGAAGTACATTCAGATACTATACTGATGAATACCTCTGAAAACCTATGAGGAAATGGACTGTAAATTATTACAACTGGTCTTTAACACTGTTTAATAAATAGGACATAAGAGACCAAAAAAAAAAAAAATATTTGCAAAGTGAGTAGTCAGCTAAGGTCAGCTATGAGGCAGGGGTCCTTTAATTACATTCTCTCATCATAACTTATTCATAAAGACTGACTCATTCTTTCTGAATAACCCAGTTATGGTTTTGTAGGCAATCTCAGTTCTAGCAGTTCCTAGTTTTTGAACTGCTTTGTAACTTAAGAGCTCCGAGATGGCACTAATACCCACAAGAACCATGTTGGTAAATGTATTGGCTTTGTAGAAAGATTATTATTACACATGCAATCTGCAGTACGATATAAAATACTGAACTTTTTAACACACTTGCACAGTACTGAGGAACTTTAAAAAAGTAATGAGACCCTCCAGCAGAACTCCTCTGTTGCAGATGTAAGGCGAGACAGGGCTGGGCTGCGAGTGCAGAACCAGCTCCAGCTGTCAGCCGGCGCCCCGGTTTTCCGTTGGGCTGCGTTACACCCCAGCGACGCCCAAGCGCGCTAGACAGCCTCTGGAAGTACCTCATTTCAAGGTGTGAGGGTGTACGCTGGCCCCGCTCATTTCTCCTACTGCTCTTTCCTCCCCCCGCCCCGGCCCCCAGGCTGCGGAGCGGCCCAGCCCGGGCAGGCACGGCGGGGCGGGGGCGCTTCACCGGCGGGCGGCCCCGGGGCCCCGGGCCGAGCCCGGCCCCGGGCCCGCGGCGGCTTCTACTCACCGCCCGTCAGCATTGGCAGCAGCAGCAGCAGCGGCGGCAGCAGCGCCGGGCGGCGGAGTCCCATGGGCAGCTCTCGGCGCAGCTCCCGGCAGAAGCGCCTTTCTCCGGCAGCGGAGCGTGTAGGTGTGAGCAGGGGCAGCTGCGTGCCGGCTATAAAGGCTGCTTTCTGCCCCAGCCAGGCCCCCCGCAGCCAGGGCTGGGGAGACCACGCTCCGCCGCCGTCTATCCGGCCAGAAGGGAGGAGCTGCCGGCGGGAGCCCCGGGCAGCGCCGGGCCCCGTCACTCGCCCGGGCGCGGGGGGACCCGGCGGTCGGGGCGGCGGCGGCGCCTCTCTGGGGGGCGGCCTCCCCCCGCGCCTCCCTGAGGGGGCCCCGCGCTCCTGCCGCGGGAGCTAGAGCTTCCCGCTGCAGCACGGCGCTTCCTAAGTGAATCTCCATCCGAAGAGTTAAGATGGCAACGAGCTGTAATTTGCTCTGTTCTAGTGGCTAACAACCGGTGCTGAATACCCGTGCCGCACCTGTGGTCTGAATTTGCCAAACTTTGTCTCCTGATTGCTACTTTTCTCGGAGGACTAAAGAACAACCAACCCTGTATACTGGTTATGCATAGTTGTAGGTTGATCAAAGTAACTTCTTAACCTTCCCTCAATCAAAATAGTCTTATACTATTTTTTTTGTACCTTGTGTAATCTTTGCATATTTTTTTCCGTTCCCTGACTCTTGTGTTATTTTACAAAACCTACAACTAGATGCCATATTGTAATCACAGTTTCATTGTCCCCCTCAACACACAGACAATACCACTTGCTTTTATGTGATTTTTTTTCCTTACTCATACGTTCCAAGTATTTCATCAGACCTTTTATTATTACACTGAAACCAGTGCATTTCCTGTCAGTTCTTCAAACAGTCAAGACCCCTGAAATTTCGGGTATTGATTTTTTTGTGTGTCTGTCTTGGTTTTTTTGTTGTGGGTTTTTTTTTTTTTGCCATTATATTCCAGGGTATGACTCCCATTGGATCCCATTGAGGCATACACTGCTAGGATAAGGAAGGATAGATAACAGATTTTTTACAGAACTTACCAAGAGCTTGTACTTTATCATGTCATCTTACTACTGGTAAGCAGCTGGAAGGTTTTTTGTAGTGAATGGTGTCTTCATCAAATAAAATGGTTTTTCATGTGTATACCGAAGGATAAATCTACTTTTGCATTAAAATGCTCTGATTTATGTGTTACATCATCCATCTATAGTCAGAAGAGAAGTAAAAAATCATATGTAGTCTGATTCCAAAAGAAAAAAGCATGCAGACAGATTGGATTTGATTTTGTTATGCGCTCATTAATCCACAGTTTATGAAATGTTTGTGTTGGCACTGAAGTTGGGGTAGCGTGGGATAAATGTGGAAGCACATCAATTTAAGGTAGGATATCGATATGCCTTTGTACACCTGATAGACCTTTGTGCAACTACATGCAGAACACCAGAATGGAATGTTAGCCCAGTCAGAACTGTGCATGCTGCTTGAACAAGCAAAAAGGATCATGGTGTGAACCTGACAAACCAGAAGCAAGCAGGGTTTCCAGCTCGAGAGCTTGTGTTCTGCAAAGGGACGAAATCTGCTGGAGGCTTGCTGTGAGACCGTGGCTTCCCGCTGATCGATGCCGAGTGGCTTCTGATACACCGTGCTCTGGTACGCTGCCAGCCGGTCCCTCCGTCCCGGCTTTTGGGTCTGACGAACGTAGCACAGCACAGCTACCACCATCTTTCCCAAAAGAGATGGACTAGAATACTAATGAAATCGGATCTGTGGCAACAAGATATGTTGTTAGTGACCCTGGGAACTCTTGGTAATGTACAAGTGATAATAGAAACCCCATCTATTTGGGATAGATTTTGTAAAAAACAAAAAGATTTTATTGCTACTGCCATCAACTGGGTCAGAGCAATTTTCCTGTTACTCATGGAGTCACATTGCTAATTACTGTTACTCTATTTTCATACTGTCACTTATACTGCATTTGTTTACTGACTCTTCCGGTCAATAAGTCACACCTATTAGAACGTTTTAATAGTGTTCAACAGCTGTTTAGTGAAACTTCCAGTTGAACAGTATCCCATCCAGCATACCATTGGATATGACAATGAAAACAGTATCCACGGGAGCAACATGAATTACATTTCATGTTTGTTCTTCAGGAGACTGATGCAATGTGTTAGTGCACTTGAATTCGGATTAGTGCAGTGGATGTTTTTCTATGAAGGAAGGAAAGTAATCTTAAAACCATTGAAAAAACAAGTGAGACTTAAATGTTCAGACTACAGCTGCTTCTGTCAGTAGACAAAGATGCAAAGTGACAAAAACTCTATGAAGTGATGAAGTAAGGAATGCAAGTCAGGAGTTCTGTTTCCTGCAACTTGTAGTAAAAGGTCAAAGGAGAACATCTACTGAGTTTGGAGCAGAGAGAGAGAAATCTGATAGGAAATACTTTTACTGAGGGGGAGGTAGGTTGTCCAGTTAATTGCCATAGCATATGGTTTAGAAAATATACTACTAACAGATGGGAAGTTAATAAGGATTACAATGATACAGTGATTATTTTTTAAATGAGATTTAAAGTTCCCTTTATATTTTTAAATAAAAACTTATGTAGCAGTGCAGACCTATCATATTTGCTTTTTGTAGTGTTCCTTTTCTTTTACTTGAAGCATTTGGTAACTGGTGTAAGTTGTATGTGACAAATGGCATTTTTCTTCTTGCTGATTAATTTTTTGTCAACTGGAGCTGTGCAGGAGGAAGGAGAAGCATTTGCTTTTCAAATATACTTTTTCAAACAAGGCTGCATGTGCTCAATGGTTGCTCTAAGTTGTTTTAAAATCAGAGGAATAGATTAATATATTTGAGACACAGTTGGACAGAGGAACGTTCTCACAGCACAACAGTATTATGGGCAAACTTGCTAAGTTAGTTGTAAAAGCCTGGTTTCTCAGCATCTGTGATTCTGTACATGCAAGAAGTTGATAGAGTGTATTTATTATTATAGTGAATTAATTATAAATGTTAAAATAGTGATGGAAAGTGCTAGAATGGTCTAAAATATGGTTAATATAAGTGCAAGTTATGTACCTCCCTGTGAGCAGGTGAAGGTAGTGATTTTGAAAGCAGTGTAACAGTATATTTTACTGCTGACTAAACAGCTGCAAAGCTGTATTTTTGTAGCAGTAGAAGTTGGTTCCATTGACACTTTTTATTTAGTAAAAGCAGTTATTTTTACTGAGAAATGAAAAAGCACTCACCACATACCTTGGTCAAATTTATATATACTCCGCATTTAGCTGTTATGAAGATCTGTAGTAATGATGATGAGTATACAAGTACTAGGGTCTGTAGGTATCTGTCCTACAAAATTAGGATCCTACTCCTTTAAGCATGTGAAAATTAACCTATATGACATATTTGCTGCCCCACTGAATTAATGAACTAATAAAGAATGGTGAAACAATTATTTTCCCATTGTTGGAGACAGGAATGGAGGCAGGGCGATTTGCGCAGGGTGTTGTATGATGGCTGTAGCAGAGCTGGGAAACTGCACCTTGGTGTTCTGCACCCCAGTTTAAGTCCCAGATTGAGTTCTTCTGTGGCACTGACTCCTGGAGGAAAATAATGAAAGAAAACACGTGCCTCACTGTGAAGGTATTGAATAATTAGAACTGAAGAGCTGCTTCCCAGCAGTAAGTCAACTGACTGTATTTACTTGATTGCTATACTTGGCAAATGTCCCTAAGTTATCCCACATTTTCCTAAACATTGGATTGGGACACAGGTTTGGCCTGGAACACATCCCTTACAAGTGTATGTTCCATCAGATACTGAATGTCCAAGTAATACACAATCAACTTCTTTATCACTGTTGTCTTCATAAAAAACCACCAGCCTTACTTATTCAGACATTTATTTGGAAACATTCAGTGCCTTTGTTCCCATTCTTAGAGGTTTGGCTGGCTTTCTTTTTCAAGTCTTTCCCTCATCTCTTAGTACCTTTTTATGACCAATGCTTCTTCTTTACCAGTCTTCTTCAGCTCCTGTTGTTGGGGATGTTGTTCCAAAAACTACTAGAGTTATAAAGCATAGTTTGAAGAGACAAGGTCCACATGCAGATGAGAAAACATTCTGCTAAGCCATTTTATAATATTTTCCAATGTACTTGGTATTACCTCAAGTCTATTTCTAGCATACAAAACAATATCCAACTTTGATTTAAGACTATACCAGCCTATAGTATAACTTGTAATGTCTTTGGTATTAGTAAGCCTATAAGTAGCATAATATATTCTAAGAGAATTTTGAGGACTGTGTTTGTAGTGTTGTCCTTTATATGCCCTTTGGCAGCAATGTTGTTCTGTCCATTCTGCAAAAATACTGTGCTAGTGCGTCGCTGCCCATAACAGACAGTTGTGTGCTGGAAAGGTTGTTATTACATAAATGTTCTTGAAACTGGTTTACAGTTATAATGTATGCAGAGGAGCTAAATTACTCCTACAGTTTTCTTTTTTCATCTGTCTTTTTTTTTGGTTTTGTTCTGTTCCAGATTCTACCCTCTGCTCCTTAAGTATAACGGCTGCCAGCACAAAATCCATCCTGTGCATACAATCACCCAGGCAAATAACAAGATTGCAAGTATGTTCCTGGAGTACCATGTATATACTGATGCAGCTCTGTCCATTTTTATGATATGGAAATTTATTGTCTGTGTTTAAGCAAAGCCACAGACTGGAAGATTCTGGGGAAGGACTCTATAAATTCCTGGCTTGCTTAGCTCTTAAGTTTTGACAGTCATCTCTGCCTTCCAGAAGATCTCTTACATACTGTAAGTCAAGTTCTACATGTCAGCATTTGCACCCAAAAAAAAGATCCAGGGCCTGTTTCCTGTGGAACCTAGGGCTACTCTTTATATCTAGAGAAGAAGAGACTTAGCAGTGCAACTCTTGCATTTTTGTAAAACAAAATTTGAAATCTCTAGCGTAACTCTGGAAGGATGTTTGACTTGCTTGCTTTTATATAGGTTACATCAACTTGGATTCTTGCAATGGCTGATGTAATGACTGGGATGATGGGATAGAGTGACTTCTCAGCAAGTTTGTGGGTGATACCAAATTGGGGGAGTGGTTGATACACTGGAGGGCAGGGCTGCTACTCAGATGGACCTAGTCAGACTGGAAAAATGAGCTGTTGGGGACCTCATGAAGTTCAGCAATGGCAAATACAAAGCTCTGCATCTGGGTTGGCATAACCCCATGCACTAGGACAGGTTGGGAGCTGACTGAATAGAGAGCATCTTTGTGGAAAAGGAGCTGAGGTTCATGGTGGACAAGTTGAATGTCAGTCAACAGTGTGCTCTTGCAGCAAAAGTGTTCAGCTGCATTCTGGGCTGAGTGTAACTGGTAGGTTTGGAGGGAAGTGATTCTTCCTCTCTATCTGACACTTGCGAGACTACATCTGGAGTTCTGTGTCTCATTTTCAGAAAGGCATTGACCTACTAAAGCAAGGCTAGTGAAGGCCACCGAACTATTCAAGGGGCTGCAGCTCATCACATACAAGAAGCTGAGAAAGCTGGATTTGCACAGGTTTAAAGAAGGTGATGGTGAGGGGAGGTCATACTGCCGTCTACCGCTTCCTAATGGAAGGATGTAGAAAAGATGGAGCCACATTCTTCCCAGAGGTGCACAAGAGGCAATGACCACAAGTTACAACACGGGAAATTCAATGTAGGAAAAAATTATTTTATTATTTTTTTACAAAGAATGGTCAAATACTGAAACAGCTTGCCCAGAGAGGCTGTGGAAACTCCATCCTTAAGAGATATTCATAACATGGCCCAAAGCAACCTACTTTAATGGGACCTGCCTTGAGTAGAAAGTTCGACTGTAGGCTTGCAGAAGTCCCTTACCACCTACGCAATTCTACGATTTTATGATGTGATAGCAGATAGCTTCAAAATAGCAATTCTACCCTGCCAGGGAAAGAGACTCCAATACCACTGTTGCTTTTGCCTAAAGGTTTTCATGAAACTATGCCCTGCAGGCAGGGAAGGCTGTAGGCCTGTTCTTCTGCAATAACAAATTCATTGATAATTATTTTTTCCATGTATCACCAACTAAGCTATGCAAACACACAGGGAAAATCATCTGTACTGAACTCAGAAAGTTGAGATTTTGTTTGCCTACTTTTATTATCTAGACGGCTTTGTCATAAACAGAAGCAGTGCCCTTTTCAAAAAGAACTACCTTCCTACCATTTTAACTCACTGTTGTGAAATTCCATGTCTATGCCTTTGTCCTTGCTGACCAGTTCTGAATCTTCTTCTAGTTCTATTTTCTCCTTTTAGTATGTCTACTGGCTCTTCATTGTCTCTAAATGTTTTAAATTGCTTAAAAATAAAATGCAGATTTTTCTTACCTGTTTATTTGTTCACCTCTTGCTGTTTTGTTTGTCATCCTGTCAGTAGTACATCGTACTGGTCTGGTCTGCTTGTATTACAGCTTGCTTTCATGACCTTTCTGTTCATGATGTCTGCTTCCACAGCTGTGAAGAGTTTTGTGGTAGTTGAACACTTGGCAGAGGATAAACCCCCTAACTTACATGTCCCATCAAAGGAAAGGTGAGTAGAATGTAGCCCTTGTCTGTTCCAGGCTAATCAGCACAAGAGCCATCTATATTTAAACAGCTTAAATGGCACCCAGGCTGCTTTGGGAACTGGGAAGTTACTGATTGTATTGTTGAGAGACAAAAAACCCCTGGAAGTACTGAGGGATGGGAATGTTGGGATTTACTAGAGAACTTACAAGTAAGAGAGAAGTGAATACCAGAAATCTGGTATCTCAAGACATGTGGGATCAAAAAGGGGCTCAGCAATGCTGAAGAACTGAGTATGTGTCACTTGTCAAGCAGGCTCTGGATATTTTTCTTTGCTGTTGGATTGTTTCCCATCTTTACTCTTTGCTTTTGCAGCGTGGTTGGGATGAGGAGTGATTGAATCAGAGAACTGTCAGCACTAACATCATTATTTGTGCTACCTGAAATAAACCAGATACTTCCAAATCAGCTAGAAGATGTAATAGCCATTTGCTGAGGAGCATGCACAGAGTATAAGTGCACAACATGCAGGTCAATGTTCCGTAAAATGTTTGCTTAACTGCAATTGTTTAGCCACTAGCTGTTGGTTTGATTTCCAGGGAGAAATGAGGACTCTCATATCTCAAGAAAAGGTGAGAATTTAAATGCATTCTCAAATCTGGGCTGTTGTGACAAACATATTATGAAGTTTTCTATGCAGGCCTATTTTCTACTGCATTTGAAAGGCAACAAATGCCATAGATACTATATAATATAAACAATTTAGAACCATTTATATATCCTGTAATTATAAAGACTTAAGCTTATGCTTCTTTGCAGTATCAATTACTGGCTTAAGAATACTTTTTCCTAAAACTAAGGAAGAGTTTATGATTCTATAGGCTTTATATGTCCTTAAAAGTGATCAGTTATGGACAAGAGGAGACATGTTCAGGACACTTACGAGCAGAAGACACGTAGACTCATTGTCAGAAAAAGCTAAGAAAACAGGTGAGTCTGAAGGTAGCTGCTGAAGTGAAGTCCCAGTACCTTGTAAATATGACAGTGCTCAGGGAAGATGATGATACTGAACGCTGTTTACAGAGTTCACTCAGTCTTCAAAGATGTGTAGAAATGTGGCATAATTTCCATTGTACAAATTGAAAACTGGGACACCAATGGACTTGGCAGTGTTAAACCTTGGTTGTTTTGTTTGGGTTTTTTTTGTTTGTTTGTTTGTTTTTTTTTTTTTTTTTTTTTTTTTTTGTTGTTGTTTGCTTTATTTTAATACAAGGAAGATGACTTGATCCAAATGCATAAATTGCTTCCTTGGTTTAAAATAAAACAAATTCCTAATGGTGATATTGTATTTGCTGTATTTCAGAGAGCCACTGAGAAAAACTCTTGCCTACAGGTTCTGTAACTAATAAAGTTCATACCATCCTAAACACAGAGAGGCTGTATGCTTTAAAATAACATGTATGAAGAATCTTGTTCCTATGTATAAAGTAGAAAAAGTTTTAACTGCATGTGAGATGCCATCATAAAAATCAATACATCAAATGCCATGAACTACCCCCTTTTCACTGATTAGCCTTTCCAAGTTTGTAGAAATAAACGGACATATTCCCAAACAGCCATTTTACAGTGATCATGAAAATCTTTCAGATGGTAAATAGTAAATATATTTTTATCATTTTATGGTGTAAAACTGAGCACATTCTAATTGCGTGATGGTTACTTTACTTTAAGCATTTTTATTTAAATTATACTGAATGGTAGACATTTTGTCTAGCTTTGTTTTGTGACTATGGCACCCCAAAAAATAGAAATAATATGGTGCTGCATACAAAATTTTATGCTGACCATATTCAGATTATCTTTTAAAATAAACAGCTTATGCATACTTGACATTTTTACTTCACAGAGCAAAACAGTAATGCATACGCGGAGTGTTCTGAATGTTATGTGTGGTCTGCAGGTAAGATACGCGGAGTGTTCTGAATGTTATGTGTGGTCTGCAGGTAAGATCTGCATACTTAAAATTAATGTTGATTTGATATTGCTGTGAGAATCCTAACCTTTTAATTTCATAATTCTGTTTGGAATTCTTTAATGCCACATGACTGTTTTAATGTTGCTCTAGTTATTTGCTTTTTCAGAAAGAAGATAAATCCTTCTTAGTTTATGCACCATATAATCCATAGGAAGGATTTGCCAGTAACAGATAATCTTTGCTTGTGTCAGTCTTATTTAGAATGGAGGGTGAAGGGGAGGGATACCCAAACTTAATTATATAAGCAATTCTAATTAATATTTATTCTGTAAAATACTATACTGAATTTTTGTTTAGTTTTTGTTCTTTCGGATAGCCATCAAAGTAAATACCTGTATAGTATTTATTTAAAAAAACAGAAGTCACTACTGTACATCACTCTCTCAAATGCATGGATGTTCAAGGGTAATTGTGTGTTGAGATGCTGCTGAAGGTTAATTTTCTTCACTTCTGATCAAATAGTATTTTTGCTTTATTAATTTTTGTTGAAAGATAAAACAGCTTGCCTATGGATGTGTGCAGATGTGTTTTGCATATACATGCAATGAAGTAGAATTAAAATGTAAAGCAAAGCAGTTAATTCTCTGTAATGACTTCACCCCTGATCACAGGAAAGGGAATGCATCTTCCTATGGACAGAGAGCAAGCACTAAATAATGAGCACTAAACAATCACTTTCTTTCATATAAAGAAAGAAATATTTTGTACCACAGCACATATATTGCATCCCCCCTTTAGTTTTCTGTAATCTGCATAATTATCTGATTACCCCATAACTGGAAGGACTGGAATTAAGTGCCTCCTTTTATGATCATTATGACTGCAAGTTGAAGGAAGAGGAGGAGCTGCAGCAGTCCTAATTTTACTTAAAATACTGGACTTAACCTATGTGAGAACACTGAGGAGCACAATCCCTTAGAGAAGGGTCACCATTGAAACAAGTGTAACTGCGTACTGGTAGGCTGCTTCTTTCAATTGTTTTTGGTCTTTGAATTTTGTCTTTCATCACTTTGTTTTGGCCTCTGCCCATCATCTTTTCTTCTTTGGTTACTTAAGTCACTTTTAATTTATTACAAGAGTTGAAGGTCAGATCATCTCATCTGAGTTGTATGCCATCGGCCCTGAAATTTCTTGTACCAGCCCAAGTAATTTCTCTTTGAGCAAGGCATATTCTCTATCTGCTTAAGGCATATAATTAAATTTAGAGTCACACAATTTTAGAAGATAAGGAACTTCCTGTCCTGTTAACAAAAGAATGTGTTGTAAGGGGCCTGTGGCTGGAAAAAAAGTGAATCAAGAGTAGGCACCAGAAGTAAAGATAGTATAGCCTAGTTAGGGGAGGGTATATTTAAAACTGATTGACTTACAGTAAGATGCGTCTATGTACATTTGAAGTAGGTCATATTTTTATAGTAAAAAAAAAATTTAACAAAAACAATCTTTTTCCCAGCAAGAAAAAGGTGGTTTATTCATTAAAATGTTTGTTACAGCTAATAATTTGGGAAGGCCTTTGAGAAAAGAATAAATGGCATTAAATTCAATACTAAAATGTTTCAGCTGACAGCCAGAGAAACTTTAGTCTTGAGAAAATATAAATAAAGTGTAAACAGTACTCACTGCAGGTTAGGTTCTGTCCTAAGTTAAACCAGTACATTCCTACTGTCTCTAAATGGTAACAAAGAAAAATGCATAAAACTATCTAACACCTGAGATTCATCAGTCTACAGAAGAAAGCACATTTTGATGTAAACAAATAATCACTGCAACAGCTGCACAAATTTAAAAACTGAAAGTTCAATTTTACAAATTTAAATAATGAGACCAGGGATAACTGAAGCTCTGTACAAAGTCAGTGGCAAGGTGGAGATATAAACTTGGAAAAGCCTAACTGCTTATTTCCTGTACTTTGAAGTGTGCTAGTGCTGCTTATTCTATCAAGAATAATAATGTTGTAGCTTTAAAGAAAGGCTGACATGCCCAAACTACATGTATATAGAAAAACCTCGGAAGGCAGGCAACATTTCCTTTTAAAATAGCTTCTAACAATGACTTAGAATAATTATACATGCTCCAGACTGAGGTTTGGAAGAATGTTAACTCTCCTGTCAATTTAAAACCTTCTTTTGTATACAGCCAATGGGTGGGGTGCCACATTTTAGAGTACAGCATTCAAATTAAAAACCCAACCATCTAAGGTTTGTTTTGATTCTTACAGCATACAAGCTCAAAACTCAAATTTTGTGGAAGCACAAGTGGCTAGAAATGCAAAAATGGATTTATAAAACAGATTAAAAGACCATGAAAAAACTTAAAAGTTGTTAGCGCAAAGGTATGAGAAACAACAGGACTCTGCCTGTTGTAGCAACTTCTATATTAATGGCAGTGCAATTCTGTTGCAACTGCAATTGTTTCCTAAAAACATTCCTCCATTACTTAATGTATCCTACATCCTGCCATGTAATACCCATGGGGACTAAGACTGTTGTGTAAGGTCTTGCCTTTCCATCAGTGCCATTATTTGTAATGGCCACTGTAAACTGCCTATTCATTTGGATTCTCTTCCATACTTCAGAATCAGAATTCTGTGAAACCAAGTATATTGTATTAGTCCACTGTCATGGAACTCTTACCACTCCTGAAACTGCATGTATTTATAGGAGTGATTTGTATATACCTAGCTGCTTACAATATGGCTCACAGCTGCAGTCATGTCAGCACTACTAAATTAGGCTGCAGTAGCACAGCAGTTTACACTTGCTTCCCCAAATTCCTGAGCAGTGTATATATATATGTATATATATAAAACCCCTGGGGAATATTGACTTTTTCAGATATGAAGAAAATGCGTTAACCTTATTTTTCCAGATATTAATTTCTTCAGAATAATTCCCTGTGGAATCACTAATTTCCAGTGATATAGTTTCCAGTTTATATAGCAACTTTAGTGGTAAATCAATTAAATCCCAGAGATTTTATAATTTTAGAGTCATACTGGCTTGAATATCAAGATGCTGGACAGAGGGATGCAATGTATAATTCTTTAAAGAAAATACTTTCTTAGGGTGTCTATGGCAGCATTCCTAGGATTGTAGAATGGTTTGCGTTGCAAGCGACCTTGAAGATCATCTAGTTCCAACCCTACTGCCATGGGCAGGGACACCTTCCACTAGATCAGGTTGCTCAAAGCCCCATCCAAAGGATTCTCATGCTTTTCTGCTCTATTTATGTGATTTCCTTAAAATGCTAACACTTCTAGTTTGACAAAAAAACAAAATACTGTTTTAAAATATTTCTCTTCTGATAGAATCTCAGTTATGAAGTATTCTGGGTTTTTTTTCTGATCGGAAGCAAAGAATCTGCTTCTCCATAAAAAGAGAAAATCGAAAGAAAACCATACAGGTTTCTAATACCTAGTTTTGACACAATTTTAAAGTTTCAGTTGCTGTCTAGATCACTTAGTGAAATGACTGTTGATGATGACTGATCTACACATTGCCAAAATATTTCTGTACCCATTTATAATTCTTAATACACAGCAGCATTACTTGTCAGTAATTTCTGCATTAAAAAAAAAAAAAAAGATTGCTATATTTATTTATTCTTTTTGTATTTTAAAACAGTTTGTTGCTCTAAAGAATTCGAGAATTGAAATGAAGATTGCCAGGAAGGAATAAAAGGTGAATTCTACAAGCAAACTTCATCTGGAAAAGTGTGCGTGTATGTGTGTGTTTTGGGATGCTGGGAAGACTCTTCTCTCCCCTGCCCTCTGAAAAAGTTGTACTTTGAATCCTGTATTTCATTAATGATTGTAAAGAAAACAGAAAAACCTCAAATCAGTTTGATGTTCAGCAATATAAAACCATAAATAAGCTAGATTGAATGCATCGTTCTAATCCATCCTAACTACATACTCCTTTGTTCTTCTGTCAAAAGTATTTTCTTTGAAAGAACCTAGTCAAGTCTGGTCACTCCTTGTTTAAAGTTTTTTTTTTAATTCATTCAAGGTTTTTCCAGTGTATGTGTAAAATTGTTAGTTTTGTAATGTGGCTTTTGTTTCACTAGGTTTCAGGGGACTGATTAAAATGATTATGTTTTTCAGCATGTTCTCCAACATGAAGTAGAATGATATAAAGTAAACACTACTGTTAAGGACTTGAAACTCCAATTCCTTGGAATATGTCAGAGGTAAACCTGAAGAATTCCTTACATTCAGTCAGACTGAAAATACTTTGTCATTTTTACTAATGCTTATAAACCTGAGTTTCGTAGGACTGCCTGACCTTTTGAAATAAGGATGACAGTTAAGATCAACTGACAAGTAACTGCTTATACTGTCTGCAGGACTTAAGGTAATAGTCTATAACTGAGCATTGTGGTGGCTGGTTCTCTATGTGAAGGGCCTGAGCTTCTTCCATAGTATATAGAAAGTGTTAAGAATTCATAACAGCCAATACGATGACTGGCAACTTTCCATTTTAGCAACACGGATATGGTTAAGCAAGGCAGAGAGGTGTAACATTTAGCCATTTTGACCTAAGGCTGCAGGGAAACACAGTGCTGATGTGTTAATAGCTTTCAGGATATGAGAGATACAGTTTAGAGGCTTTGACGATATTTAACCTACTTAGCTCACCTATGAAAAAGATAAACTGATTGCCTGTTTAGAGGTCTGTAAGCAACTAATGCCTCTTCTCTTTTTGTTGAAATTGTGAAAAGAATGAGTGTCTCTTATTTAGTGACAGAGAAAGAAACATACACCAGTGGCACTCTAGCTTGTGATTAGGATACCTGACTGCAAAAAGAAAAAATCTTGCTTGATCCCTGCTTGTTTATGCAAAGGTCTTCTGCAAAACTTTCTTCAGAGAGATAATTCCTGTTAAAAGTAATCTAACTGGCAGTGTGTCTCTCTTAGCATTTTAGTTTGGCTCAGAAGTGAGCCAAATTGATTAGCCCCATGTGCTGTGCTTTGGTTCCTTTTATAGAATCATCTCAGAGCATGTGACCTGGATTCCTTTGGGGTAAAATGAGACAGGAAGGTGTGCTGCAACCACTACATTCAACCCATGTGCTCAGACTAAAGCTATTCCAAAGTAAACACCCAGAAATGTGCATCGGTGCTGAGAGTTTGACATCAACACAACTTTTGCTCTACAACTGGGCTTCTTTGGGACTAGTCCACTTGCTAAAGCAGACACAAGTATGTACAAAGACAGCAGAGTCGGCATACACCTTGCTCCTGGGCCTCTCTTAGACAACTCTTACTAACTGTATGCTCCTACAAGTCACGCTAATTTAGCTTTCACATTACTGAGAGATTGAGACCTTCTAGATCTTAGCAAAGCTAAAAACAAAAGTTTTTTTTTTTGCTATTCTGGCAGGGAAGTCTCCTTGTGTAGAAAGGTATTCTTCAGTTCTGCCTGTGTTATTTGCTAAAGCACACTTCTTTAACTGAGTTAGATTAAAAACCACTGTTTTCCCCTCCCCCATCTTCTTTATGGGCAGATTTAAACCTCATATAACCTGTGATGGAAAAGAGATCAATTCACTTTACCTATATTCCATCTTTTCAGTTACAACAGAATTCTCTAGCACTGAACACCTGTATAGTTAACCTCTAAATATAAAGCCAAGCAAATAAGGACAGCACTACTGAGGTGAAAAATCAAGATATCAAATCTAACTAAAACACATAGCTCTAAAGTACAGCTACAAGAAGCATTACACATTGAATAAAACACTTCCTGAGATTCATGCTAGCAGTGGATGCAGTGACATTTTCTGTCTTCCAAAGGAAGTAATCAGACACACCTTACATTGTTAAATTAATCAATGCAACCATAGTTACAGACAAGAAAATGATAAAATTAAGACCTGATGTAAACAGCTGAAGCTCATGATAATGGGTTAGCTAGTTACAACAGTGATATAAAGACTGTATTAGCAAATAGGTCAGAAAATAGGTGTCATTTTCCTCAGCTTAATCTCCAATGCCTGTTTATAACACCCAAATGAGTAAAACAACAGTATAGAGAAAACAGAATAGAATAAAACTATCTAATAAATTAAATGGGCATAGATTGCTACATTTAAACCTTCTTAACCACAATAAATATTAAGAAAGATATTATTTCTAAAGGGTATTCTTTTCTTTAGGGAAAATGTAGAGTAACATAATGTTAACAAAATTAAAAGCTTCACAGAAAGAAGAGAGTTGACAAATTAATACCTTCATAATGTGCTTTCCCTGAAGCCCTAGAGTATCTTGATTTATATAAATCAGTATCTCATTTTTCAAGATATATTCTACACTCAGAAAGTGTCCTTGGCTCACTGGACAGGAAGTGAGGTGCTGTGAGAACTGCCCGCAGAACTATCTGAACTTCTAACTACTCATTACTCTGGCCAAAATTACCTATGATCAGCTGGAATAGATCATATATCATTAAATCAAGAATTGAAGCAATGTATATATGATTCCTGTTGAAATATAGCCTTTATGTCCAGACAGATACATTTGTGCGATTGTAAGAAATTCTGCAAATATGTGACTTCCTTAAAAAAATGGTAATGCACCTTAAAAGATTGACCTTAAGGCTGTGTAGCATCAAAGGCTCAGTAAGCTGGAAATCTGAACTTAATCTACTGGGAGTTTACAGAACAGAACTTTTATTTCTATCAATCTCTCAAATTTATTTACTCTTCTGTATTAATTAAGACAAGAAATACTAAATTCCCTACATCTCCCATTTCATTTTTCAATCATATTTTCAGAGCCCTCTGTGTAGCTCTACAAATTAAACTTGATTTTTTTTAGTCCAGCAACAAGTTTTATTTGCATATTTTTACATAGTTTGGACAACTAACACTTAGGAAGGATATCTTAGCTAGGCACTTTGATTGTAATGATTAAAAATGCATTTCTGGGACAGTGTGCTTGAAGAGTGGGTTTGGACACTTGCTCTAGAGGCACTTTCAGGTATGGCTTCATGTGGTTCCAGTTTTGCCACTCCTCCTGTTTAAATGTGCATGACATCAGGAGACAGTCTAAACTGGAACACCACTGACCCCCTAACAAGCACATCTCCATTTTTTCCCATTTTTTTCCCCCTGCCAAAGCAAGGTGGTGCATTTTGATGTTTCCAAACACACTGAGAGGTCTGAATAATTCAGATACTTTACAGAGTAAAGCTAGCTGGGGAAAAAAAAAACCTAGATCCATATCCCACCTGCTCATTATAACCCTTACTACTCTTAAGAGAAGGTTAAAAGCAGAAACTGGCCACTTCCCTCCCTCACCCCGCTTTTTTCTGGCTAACAGATGATCTCTAACCGGTCACCCATTTTGAAGAATGGTTATCTTTTCTGTTCACATTCTCATTACGCCTGTCATCCATAACTTCATCACACTGCAACATATTTCACTCATGATTATTCTCGGAGGCTATTCAGAGGTCTAAAGCTAATGCTAATGATGGTGGCTGGCATTAACAAATTTCAGCTCTCCCAGCTTAATACATTTATTTTCTATGTGTTAAAATATTGCACTGAAATGACTTTTTTTTTTTTTTTAATTCAAGAAGTCCTGTCTAATTTTGAACCTTTCAGCCTAAAAGAATTGTTATCTTCCTACTTTTTGTGGATTCAGGTCAGACATAAACTTGTAGCTAGTCCTGGGATTCAGCTGCTAGAAACGGTGGGCCCAGCCAGCACCCCAGGAAGCACAGGAGTGGGACCTATATGCCCTCTGCTGGCGTACTGGGCCATGACTGCTACTGCAAAGGCAAAATTAATCTCAGATTTAGTAAAACAATCTAGAAGTTACAGCGAGACATTAGGGAATGACTGTTTACTAGCTTTTAATATTTGCCGCAGGTTACGATTGAGACACCGAAACAAAACCAAAATACTCTCCTCTATTGTATACTAATACTTAATTTTTATGCAAAGGATATGACTGATAGATTTCTACACTAACTCCAATGCAAAACCCCATAGGTGTTTCACTGGCTTAACCTCCAACAATGTTTTAACAATCAAGAAAAAGATAATTTAAAAAATGCTAAGTAGTTTCCTATGGAAATTAAAATTATTCATAGCTAACATCAGGCTCAATTCATAGAAGTTACAGTTTAACTTGCCTTTAGTTGTTCTCCAAATACTCTGCTGCCCTTCCACCACGGTCAATTTCTTAGTGATAGTAGAAATCACTTCTCTGCTAGGGCATTACCACTGTATGCAAAAAGTAAATGAACTATAGCTGGAACATGGTGGTTAGCATACCCAGTCACAAACATGACTGCAACATGCCATTTGATATTGTTACACTGTTTAGCTCAAGTCTAAGGGTAAGTACATAATTATAGGTGTTTAAGAAAAATAAACAAAAAAGTCAAAAAAAAAACCAAAAAAATATTTCTACAGAGATGAGTGTCTAGTATAGGATATTCTGTTCTTGCATGGCTTTCAAAAAAAGAGTATAGACTGATGTAAATGCTGTTTTAAAATAAAAGGAAGTTCATCTTATTTACAAGCATCAAGCCAGTAATTTGACCATTAACTGCTGAAAATGTCAATGTACCATTTCATCAGCATTTGAAAAGGAAAAACTTTTGCTGTTTCAGTAATACAGTGAGTTAAAGTTTCCAATAGTGTGGTATGCACATGATAGAAGTCAAAATGTCACAGAGAGCATAACTTGCACGCAATACTCAGTGTTTTATCACAAAGATAATAAGAATCCATCACTACCAGCAAAAAAAGCTCAAATAAAACCTAATAGGGGCAATACTTTTTGTGGGAGTCCTCCTTCATATGCTGCAATAGGTATTCCTATTTTCATCAGAGCAATGTTCACTCATCTCTGAGTTCCTAAGCAAAGGAGGGGTGTGAAGTAATGGCAGAAAATAGAACAATAATGGTGTGGGCACCCCAGACAAACCCACCAACTGCAAACTGACTTTTAGAAAGAATTACATTAAACTATATTTGCTCTACATATGATTATTTAAAATAAAGGGCATTATTTTGGTTAAGTCACTTGCCTTTGGAAGGGAAATGTTCATAATCTAATTTAGTTCAGTTTAATTCTGCAGTTTCCTCTTCTCATAAAGATATAATGTGGCTTAACTGTTTCAATCTGGTTAATTCAGGTCAATATTCCTGAGCATGCCTCCATGGAAGGAGTTCGATATTTTATACTCTTGTTTTGCATAAAACTCTCTTGCTGAAGTATTCACAGACCTTATGTATACATTCTTTGCTGTTGAATATTTACTTTGGTAGTAGCCAAAACATATATTAATTTCTGACCAAAACTGACTGTGTCTACAGATATTATGAAAATACCTTTTTTGAAATTCACTGTTTTAAATATTCAGGGAGATACATTTAATCTCCTTCCCAAAATACACATGGAGTTGGAATAACCACATATTCCAAATTCCAAATTTGTTTCCAAATTACCTTTAAAGAATATTTTAAGCTCTCTCACACACAACAGTAATGAAGTTCCATTTTTCATCTCAGTTCATTTTCAGGTCAGCACCTGAAATTGTCAAAAAAGTTATCGGTTAAGTTTACGTAGGCTTCCACAAGTAGTATTTTAAAATGAAAGATAATGAGTTTATGTAACAGGATTAAGTCTGATCAGTTAATTCATGACAAGTTAGTTCAAGATGGTTTAACTACTATTCTTCTGAATAGTTATTTATTATATCATGTAATTAATTTAATCAAGGAAGGAAAATAATTATTTGTTACCCTCTTCCAATTTGATGTCTATAAAAGCTAAATATATAGCTTCCACAAAAACTTACTTGGTCAGACATTTATATTATTTATCTTGCCACATTCTCAAGGTATTCTGCACACCTTGTACCTATAATTGAAATCATGACTCTACAGCTCCCACTTAAACACAGCACTAAGCTATACACAGCTGTGCTTCGAGAGCTGCTTTATAGAGTACAATTTGTTACACCTGAACATTTTGTTCAATAACCTCTTAATTCTAACACAAAATTTACTTTGTTTTCTAAGTGTTTGATAGGTAAGATATTTGTATAGAGATTTAACTTCACCTGATGCAATTTTCAGGCTCACCTTTGCAGCCTGTATTACATCTGAAACAGTCCCAAAGTAGTCAGCCCACTGGTGGAGTTCTCAACAAACCATTCCCGAAAGGCAAACGGTACGTAGATAATCCTAACAGCAGGCTTTGAAAAGTCATCAACATGATTTATGTAATACTTACAAATCAAAAGGACTAACAGCTAGGATTAAGATTTTCATTGTGCTACTACCAGCTAACAGATTTTACCTCAGCAATGGTTTGTTGTTCTGGATGAGAATGATCATACTGCTTGCTTTTTTATGCTGCTCAGCATTCAACCAATTCTAATTTGGAATTGGATTAGACTTCTTATCATTTTTATGGTCTACTTCACAATTTATGATGCATGGGTATAACTGTTGTTCTGTGCATGATTTTTTTTTAATCTTTTTGTTTCTCTCACCTCCCTTTAGTTCCTGCAGTAAGCAAAAGCCCAGTTTTGCATTGAGTCCTACAGGACTTCTAAATTTAATTCTATACATTTAAGCATTAACAATTTAATACCTGACTGCTACCATTAAATTATCACACTTACTCTCAAGAATCAGTATGACTGATATCGACTGAAGGTAATTCACCCCTTGGAGCTGGGAAAAGCCTTAAGGCAGAGCTTCAACAATTTACTCTTACAGTCCCTCCACAGTAATTAGACTGGAACAATGGTTAATAGAGGTATGCTTCAGCAGATCAGGGAACTTTCCATCAGTATAACTTCACCTGATAAACTCATTAGCTCTATTCCTTTCAGTCTCAATTAATGGTAGTATAATTTGTATACTATGTTTATTAAAACCTGTAAAGCTTTTCTTTATGCAGTTCTACCGTACAGGCCACTTCAGTGTTTCAAATTTTTTTTTATCACATTATTTGTGGGGATATCTGTAAAATACTGGTCAGCTGTATTACAGACATTGCCATCGCTAATGCTACTGGAAAAAAAAGAAATGGTATCATTAGAACATCAGTTATGTCCACTGTAAGAGACGAAAAAACCCCAACCCGTCCCACTTGAGAGCGCGTTGCAGGTCTGTCATTCAGCGACTCCCCGGGCAGGGTACGTGCCGCCCGGCACAAGGCCGGGGCTCCCGCTGCCCCGGCGCCAGCAGCCGCTGCCGTTGCTGAGAAAGTAATGACAAACCAGCGTTCCTTACGCCTCCCACTTACTCCAGTTTTATTATTTGACAAAAGAGCTTTCACAAATGTATTCTGCGAGTTCCAAAAGATAGAACAAGTTCCCGGCTTCATAAATACTCATCCCAGGCGAATGACGGAGAATACCTCAGGTAGCGGGGGAAGGGCAGAAGCCCCACGCCACAGGACAGCGTCCAGGGTGCCAGCCTCGCACCCGCCAGCGCCCTCGCCGCTCAGCGCGGCTGCCGGCGCAGCGCCCGATACCGATCCTCGAAGTAACGGCGACCGCTCCCGCTCCCTCACAGCCAGCGGCCGCTCGCGCCGCCCAACGCGCGCGAGGTGGCCAGAGCAGCGGCGCCGGTCCGGCGCATGCGCAATAGCCTCTGAGCTGGGGAGGAGGGAGACGGATGACGTCACTGGGCGCGAGAGCTCCCAGGGGGCGCTGCGAGTGGGCTGCCAACGTCAAGCTGCTGCCGGGAGAACCAATGGGAAGCTTAAAGGGCCGTAGCGTCGGGCTGTCCGGCGCAGCGTCACCGGGCGATGGCAGCTGACGGGCGCGCTCGTAGCGCGGGCCTTGTCTGTTTGGCCAGTCACAGGGCGCTGAAGAGGCCTGGGGCGGGCGCTGCGGCCAGCTGAAAGGAAAAAGAAGCGGGGGAGGAGGGAGGGGCGCTAGCCGGCCAGCCAGCCAATCAGCAGCCAAGAATTTCCCAGCCGCCACCAATCAGAAGTGCGGGTTTCCAAAACAAGCGTGACGAGCCAATGGGAGAGCTCCGGCCAATCTAGTCGGGCTGCCCGCAGGCTGTGCCCGCGGCCTCCCGGCCGCTAGGGGGCGCGCTGGGGAGGGGGGCGGCCGCGGCGGCGCTGCCGAGGGCGGGGCGGGGGGGGCGCTGCCGCTGTCGTCGTCGTTGTCGCCGCCGTTGCCGCCGCCCGGTTGGCTGGCTCCGCCTTCCGCGGCGCTGCGCTCCCGTGGGCCTGGGCGGCAGGTAGGACCCGTGCTCCGCTCCCGCCGCCCGCGGCGGGGCCTCTCCGCCACAGGAAGGGGCGCGGGGGACGCCGCCCGCCCGGCCCGCTCCCTTTCCGCCCCGTTCGGTGGCGCGGGCCGGGGGAGCCGCTCCCGCCCCTCCCCGCGCTGCGGGTGCCGGCCGCTCCCCGGCCGAGGGCGGGGTCCGCCGCCTCGCTGCTCCCGGGGGAGAGGGGCGGCGAGTGGCCCTCTCGCTGCCTGCGCATCCCCGGCGCGGCGGGTGGGCGCGGGCGGTGTCGGTTCCGCTGGGGAAGTTGGCTGGGCTGGGCGGCGGGCGGCCCTGGAGAGGGCTTGCCCTCGGCGATCGGGAGTCCGTTGGCGCGAACAAAGGCGGAGGCGGGCCCGGCACGGGGCGAGCAGCGGCGCCGGGAGGCTCGGGCTGGCGGCGGCGGGGCGGGGGTCCGCTCGGGCCCGGCGCTCCCCGGCCGCGCTCCGCCGGGCCGGCGGCTTTGCCGAGGCCGCTCTCCACGGCAGCGGGCGCCGTGTGAGCTCTCTCGGTGCATCCCGGCTGGCCCAGGACCCCGGCGCTGGGCGGGAGAAGCGGCGAGCGGAGCGGCGGCAGCGGCCGGGGTCTGCCCGGTGCCCCGGGCTCTCTCGTGCCGCCTCGGGTCGATCGTTTCGGCTTTCTGGCTGTGCGTTCCTTTATCCGACTAGAGGAAAAAAACATACTCGTCTTCCGTTTCTTTAGTTTGTTGAGGCCGTGTTCGCGGTTGGGCAGCACTGTTGCTGTTTTGTCACAGAGAGTCATAACTGTATTACAGGAAAAAAAAACAAAACAAAAAATCCAAAACACCAGACTGTCAATTGTAGTTATCAAAATCGATAATTTTGTGTAATTTGATGTAAATTCTGGATTTATTGATAGAGTGCTGCTTCTTCAGTTTGAATTTTGGATCTGTTATTTACTGAAATATCAAAGAGAACTGTAAACCAAAGTTCTTCAGCCCCACTCTTTAATTTCCTAGGAAAATGAAGCAACTTTACAAAGCGCCTTTGTTCTCTCCTGTTTCTTTCATGGATTAAAAAAAAAATGTAGGAACGCTGTGAAAATAGAAAACAAAGCTTGAACAGTGTCTTTCTTATTTTGTGGGTAGGGAGTGAGTGGGAGGAGATGCAACTCAATAGTTAAAGTAAATAAAGAATGTGGAATAAATAGGTGTGAAAGTTGCTGTATATTCTGGGTTTTTTTATTTAGATATCTCATTTTGACGACAATCAAGTTTGTTTCTCTTTACAGAAAGAAAAGCTGAAGCTGACTTATGTCTACTAATAAATGGCTTTTTCAACTGACATAACAGAATTTTGTGATTGAGATCAGAAGTATTAGATTAAGCAGAGGAATTAAGATTATTGAAATGTGTGTCACATAGTGTTTTCTCTGTTTCCCCCCTCAGCATGTTACATGTTTGAAATGTCTTATGTAACCACCCAGTGATGCATGAGCATGAATATTAAATCTTTTGTGCCTTTGCTAAAAGGAAGATATGTCTAAAAAGATTTTGCATTAAGGTTTCTATTTTCCTTTCCTCCTCTTGGTGCCAGTCCAAATCTGTTGAGCAGTTTACAATCTCTGTAAGGCATGCTTTAATTTGCACTGTAGTTTATTATCTGTAATTATTCATTTAAACTGTCAGATGGTTAGGATGGGCAATAAAATTGCTTTGAGAAGTCTTCTTTGGGACAAGCTTATTCTCTGTTGGGCAGGTGCTTGATGTCCAGTTTGATTCTTGGCTGGATTGGAACTGGGGGTAGTGGAGATATTTTTGTCCGTGACATCTCTCCAGGAAGCAGTTGGGGATAGCTGCATGTGTGCCACTTCCTTTTATCACTTGTCTCTGTTGAGGTAGGGGCCTGCTTTCTCATGCTTCTGCGGTGGGAGTTATACACATGTATTGCTTTTTTGATCTAGGTACCTGAATGTATTATGCTTGTTGCTGCTGTTAGTGGTGCAGGAGGTAGCAGCAGAGGTGGGCTTTCACTTCCAGACAAAAGAAACTGCCTTCCATTTAGTCATATATTCACTCCTACTGTTTTGTTTCAGTCTTTCCCGTTCTCTTTGCAGTATTCCCTTTATTCTAGGACCCAGGGTGTAACTTCTGTTTTCTGGAGTACAACTTTCCTATATGGAAACACTGCTTCATGTTTTCATTTTATGTACAGGTTTCTGATTGCAGTTCAAAGTTTTGACATATGATTGTGTAGATGATGGGTTAATTTTTGACTCAGTTGATATATTTTGAGTTCGTTACCTTCTCTCCTGCCTGTGTCATAAAGAGGGGGAGAAGGCTGATGCTAGAATACAAGAGGGGATCTCTTTGCTTGGTGTGATTTTCACTAGACTTGTGCCCCAGTCAAGGTTCATAACTCTGCTGAGCCACCGAGGCTGGGAGAGATCTGTTAGCAGCAATCATGATAAAATTTTCAATGTGCTTTGTATTGTACAGAGATCTAATTTGAGATTCCTGTAACCCAGTAATTGCATTAATAGTGAACTCAGTGATGCATGGCAACAGGATATGCTTCTGTATCTTAAAAGAACACATCTGTACGCTGCACTTAGTTTTTAAGTTTTAGCTCTGTGGAGAAGGAAGTGCAGTGAGGACCACTGACTTCCAGTTATTTTCAGCATTTAGGCCTGAAGGTGCAGAGAATGCTCATTTGAAGTATTTGTAGTAGCTGGAACCATTAATGTCAGTGATGAACAATAACAGAATTCTTTGGTCAGCTGAAGGTCATTAATTCCCGGTGGTAGTAGTTCTGGTCCCCAAATAACATTATGCATTTTTCCTCTATTCTCCATTCATCTCTAAATAAGCGGTCTACACAACTGTATGCAGCAGCAGAAAGGATTAGTCCTGCCCAGCTCCATATCCTTCGGGATTGAATTTTCAACTGGGGGAACTTTTGTGCATGGCAAACTGTAGATACTTGCTACCTGGATTTGCAGTTTAGAAATGGAAGGCTAGACTGTCCAAAGTTTTAAGCAGTGTGACCTTCTTTTTCAGAGTAACCAAGGCCTGTATTCCTTCTACAGAAAAACTCAATTCTGTGCATTCTGTATGAATTTATTGACTTGCATTCCAAAGATCAATTTGTTTTGCAGGATAAGGCTAGCAATTGTGTTCGAAGCACTTGTGCCTGAAGAATTAACCCAGGCATATCCTAAATATTGTAAATGTCCTTTAAAACTTACCTTGAATGCCTCAGAAATGCCAAAATACAGAAAATAAGAAAATTGCCTTGCCCTGGTCTGGAAAGAAAGCAAATAACCAGTACAAGACATAAGTAGCCTTGTGTAAGAGGAAAGTGTAGGTATTCCTGTCTGACAGAACTGGCTCAGATCTCTTTTCCTCCCTATCTCCTATTTGTGTAACTGGACCAGCATCTGTCACAAAAGGTGATGCTGGCTACTGGCAGCGCACTTTTTGTCACTTGGCTTCTGCCTTTGTGAAACAGGCTGAGTTAAAGCCTGTGATAAAGATAAAACAGTATAATTTGTTCTTTAACTTGCTTGGGTCTAGGAAGACTTTTTTTTTTTTGCTTTACTAGATTTATTAAATTGAGCTTGTATTGGTCATGAAACAGCAGTTGTAGAAATATTACATTTAATAGAACAATCTGTTCTGCCTATGACCTTAATTACCAATATATTAGTCTGCCTTTTTTTTTTTTTTTTTTTTTCCTGGATCCTATACTGTTTTCCCCTTTCCCTTCCTCTTCCCTTCCCTGTTTCAGTGAATTGCAGAGAGTAAAGCAATGGTATAGGCTTTGCTTTTCTAGTAATAGTTACAAGCAAGAAAGTAACATTTTAACTTTTCTAAATGTAGGTACATGTGTATGTTTGTTTTAAATTCAGTCCCTGCTGATGGAGGAGAAAAGCTGTTGCTAAATATGTGGAGTTTTTTAAATTTTGAAAGTGGATGAATTGCATTAAAAGTCAGGATGTGATTGTTATTTGCCTTGTATATAACTGAGTCTCACGTGTTTCTGGTTGCTCAAGAGGATCTAAGGATGAATTGGATGGGAAAGATGCTGTTAGATGTGCTATCTGAAACCATTTTAAATCCTCCACAAAATCATCAAATACTAGGGCAATGTGATGGTCAAAGTATGTTAAGGACAGGCAGTTTTTTGCCTGAACATCTTAGGGATGCAAATGAGTAAGTAGGAAAAAACAAAAAAAACAACCAAACAAAAAAAAACAACAACAAACAAACAGAAAGCTGCTTTGAATAATAAATTACGTCATTCACTTCATGTTCATCACTTGCTAGCTATTTTCTCTGTGTTGCCAGTTTGTAATGTTTCCATTAACTTTATTGTTTTGGAGAAATTGGATCTGCACATCTTCAAGTTTCAATATATCATTTATTCTTTAATATTTATGCTAGATGTGATAAATCAATGTAATTGTTACTGTGTTGGACTTATTTCACCTCTTTGCAAGTTGGTGTAGAGTATTGGAGTTGCTTAAAATTAGTAAAGCTGATCATAATACTTGCCCAGATCTTGACGTATGCAAGACTCTTATGTTGGCAGGGTATTACTTCGTCAGTTGTTAATTTGGAGGACTAAGATATGT